ATATTATTTAAGCACTAGTCACTTTTACATATGTGTATAAAATTTTGATTTTTGTATATAGCACTATTATAGCAGAGCGCTTCATCCAATATTTGATATTTATTTTGTGTGTCCCATGGTATAGGGTGTAGATGATAGCAGCTAGCTATATCTAAGGAGTCTGTGGAGGGCAGGAGGATATTTTTATTTAGTATTCAGGATTGCCATACAGTTTGTTTTGGTGTGTGGGGGGGGGGGGGGGGGGGGGGGGGTTTGCCAGTATCCTCTTCTAGGCATATATACACTCACTGGCCACTTTATTAGGTGCATCTTGCTAGTGCCAAGAAAGTATCTCCCACACCATTACACCACCACCACCAACCTGAACTGTTGGTACAAGGCAGGATGGATCCATGCTTTCATGTTGTTTGCACCAAATTCTGACCCTACCATCTGCATGTCACAGCAACCAGTCTCCTCTAACGTCAGCAAGGCATTTTCATCCACACAACTGCAACTCACTGAATATTTTCTCTTTTTCGGACCATTCTCTGTAAACCCTAGAGATGGTTGTGTGTGAAATTCCCAATAGATCAGCAGTTTTTCTCTAGTCTTCTTCCAGGATGGTACACCTGAGAGATGACTAGCTCCATCTGACAGGAAACACAATCAACTTTTAGTTTAAATTCCCCACCCTTACCTTCACTCCTAAGTTCTTGATTGTGTTTCCCTGGCAGCAAAACTTTATTTTTTAAATTTTTTTTGTAGGACCGAAGGCCCTGGGGCTGGAGGTCCTCTCTTGAGGGTAGTTGCCGAGCCAGGGAGGGCAGGCTTTCACTTACCTACTCTGGGGCTCCTAGTGGTGCGGAGCCTTTCAGAGACAGGAGGGTGTCCCGGCGTTCCGGGGACAGGCACCTTCTTCCCTCTTCCCAGGCAGCAGGGAGGCATATCAGGCAAGGACTGGGCTGTGAGACGCTGCTTGCGAATACGTGGAGGCTGGCATCTTGCGGTGGCTCCTGTAGGGGAAGCCGGGCAGCCGCAGCGAAGTCTTTCACTGGTTTCTCCAGTGAAGCCTAGGGCGCAGGACTGGAAGTAGGAGGGAAGGAGGTTGCGTTCCAAACCTCGTTTTCAGTACGACTTCCAGTGGGGGCGGGGGATTTCCAGAAAGATGGCTGTGTGTCAGATGGCTTCTTCACCACATGAGGCCAGTGAGGAGCCTCCAGGAGTTACCCCTGGGAGTGGGGACCCAGGAGTCCGGTGAAGGCAGCACAGTCCTGAAGCACCCTGCAAGATAGAAGAGGGAGCAGTGGCTGCAGCCAGTGAGAACACCACGGGTGGTGCGTCTGACTTGCCTGACTGGGGAGAGAATGGGGATAGAGACTTTGCCCACTCTCCTGTAGGTGTGATTAGGGAGGAAAAAAGGGAATATTCTAACCCAGGCCCCTGTTTATCTCTCCTCAGTTCCATGTGGAATGCCTCAAGAGAGCGCCCACAAGACACCTAAAGCTAATGCCCCCCCTCACCACTCCAAAAGGTGTGGTTATTGTAACGATAAGGTCCCACAACACCACATCAGACCCTTTTTGTTACAAGTGTATCCACAAGTTGTCAGGGAAAGAAACATCGGCGGTTCTGAAGGATTTTTTGAGACAGCCCTGACAGCTAGGGAGATGGATTCCCGTTCCTCAAGTGAGGGATCGCTTCCCAGGAGGAAGATTGGACCCTACCAAAGCCAGAAAGGATAAGGGGAAGAAGTTTTTTCGTGCCCCCTTTTATCAGGGCCAACAAAGGTTTAGGAAAGACTCCACTAAAAAATGGGCTAACAAAGGGAGACAAAAAGGAAGTTTCCTTTTTTCTGGCTCCAAAACCACCAGTAAGGACCCCAAATGACATAGATCTCAGGGTGGGCGGAAGGCTGTCCAAATCCCTTCAACAGTGGGGGAAGATTACGGACAGGCCCATACATCCTGCAGTTGGTAAGACAGAGGGATACAAGTTGCAGTTCTCCTCTCTCTCTCCTCCCCTCATACCTTTTGTGCTGACTTATCCCCCCAGAGACAGGACAAAGACAGAGGGTCCCTTGGTAGGGATCAGCATTCTAGCAGAGCAGGAGGTAACTGTCACCGTGCCAGCGGACCAAATGTTACAGGGATTTTATCCCCACGTGTTCGTGATTCCTGAAGCCTTCAGGCAAATTCCGCCTAATCATAAACCTGAAAAAGTTGAACAGTTTCCTGCAGTACAAGAAGTTCCACATGGAAAGTATCTACAGTGTACGGAAGCATCTGCTCAAAGGAGTCTTTGTGGCCACTGTTGATCTCAGGGACGCCTACTTCCACGTTCCCATTGCCCTGGAATACCAAGCCTTCTTATGCTTTGTCATCTTCAAGGAGCAGAGCAACAGGCACAAGCAATTCCCAGCTCTCCCTTTTGGACTAGCGGCCAGTTAAACAATATTTACCAAGGTCTTGGCAGAGGTAGTAGCCTTGTTACACATTCAGTGAATTTATTAATTCCTCACCTAGCAATCTGATGGTCTATGGAGTCTCACGGCACCAAGTACTGCATTCCGGCCATGGAGTGGGCACAATTGCATTCCAGGGAGCTTAAATTCTTCCTTCTATCCTCCTGGAACAGGAAAGAGGAGTCGCTGGACGAGAGAGTTTCCCTCCCAGAGAGTGCAAAGATCTCTTTGGGATGACCCAGTTTGAGTAAATACGGACAAAAGTGAATGGGGCTGGGGGGGCTCATCTAGAGGACCAACAAGCCTAAGATCCGTGGGAGCCGCATCAAAAAGGGACCTCTTCCAACTGCAGAGAGCTGTTGGCAGTAAGTCAGGCCTTGAAAGCCTTTGCAGCCAGAATCAGGGGAGAAGTCATCCAAATTTTGTCAGACAATGTAGATCGTGGTATACCTGTATCATCAGGGGGGCACCAGATCCTGGAATTTCCTGAACCTAGTGTAAGAGATTCTAGGTGGGCGAAGAGCAGTGTGCTTTTGGTGTCAGCGGTCCACATAAAGTGGTCGGTCGACACGAAAGCACACTTTCTCAGCCGACCGTGCACCAGGGAAAGTAGGAACTCAATCCCAAGGTCTTTTTTCAGATAAGTCAGGTATTTGACTGTCCGGAGATAGACTTTTCTGCCTGCAGAAGATACAGGAAGGGGAAACTGTATTTCTCCTTAGCTTGGGAACAGAGTTCCGAAGGCCTGGACGTGTTAGCACAGGAATGGGATTTCGAGCTGGCATATGCCTTTACCCCTCTGCCGCTGATCCCGGAGGTACTCCAGAAGCTGGCCCGATCAGGTTGCAGACTGATCTTGCTGGCCTCATCATAGCCAAGAAAAGCCTGGTTTCACCACCTTGAGGAGGTGGGCCGTGGCTCCACCACAGTGTCTCCCAGTCAGGTGTTATCTTCTCTTACAGGGGCCAACTCAGCACCCCAATCTGGAGTTTTTTTGACTAACAGCTTGGCTTTTGAAAGGGAGATCCTTAGAAAAAGGGGGTGTACGGAGAGAGTGATACACTCATCTCCTCTGTTGGAGACCGGTCACCAGAAAAAAATATATGCCAAGGTGCAGAGGGAGTTTTCTGCTTGGTAACCGAAACAAGGGATTTCCTCCCCATGGTCCCGGTGATCCTGGATTTTCTCTAAGCAGGGGTGGATAAAGGTTTAGCAATAAGTACCCTAAAGGTGCAGGTGGTGGCACTGTCGGTCTTTTTGGATCAAAGACTCGCATCGGAGCCCCTGGTTAAGAGATTTCTGCGGACCAGGGAGAAAGTAACCCTTCCTGATGGTGTTAGAGGACAGGGTAGTGCTTAGACAGGGCCCTCTGTATTTACCCAAGGTGACCTCAAGGTTTCATAGGACACAGGAGATTGTCCTACCATCTTTTTGTCAAAATACTAAGAATGAAGAGGAAAAGAGTTCATTTTTTTAGATGTCAGATGGTGTTTACTGACATATTTGAACAGAGTAAGTGACTTTCGGAAGTCAAGTCACCTAATTTTTAACAGTCCAAGGAAGGGACAGCAGGCATCTAAGCCAACAATAGCTAGATAGATCAGACTCCTTAGCTTATGAGCAATCACGAGTCTCAGTACCCTCTCACCTGATGGCTCACTCTACTAGAGCGCTAGCGACCTCCTGGATCTGCCAAGCAGCCACATGGGCAAGCCAGGACACCTTCGTGAGACACTACAGGATAGACTTGTGATCACCTGGCGTTTGGCAGGGAAGTATTACAGGCAGTAACCCCACACACTAAGGTAGGCCTGAATTTCTTGCTTATCTCAGATGTGCCATCCTGGAAGATGACTAGAGAAAAGTACCAGTTACACTTACCAGTAACGGTGTTTCTAGGAAATCTTCCAGGATGGCAGGCCTACTTCCTGCCCGAGTCTGGTGTTGGTTATTTCAAGACAGATTGCCTTTCGTGCAGCAGAGTTTGAAGGATACTCTTTTATATAACCAAGGAGTGGAGGGAAGGGCAGGGAATTTACACTGTCAATTGTTGCTTGTGTTACCTGCCAGGTGGAGCTAGTCATCTCTCAGGTGTGCTGTCCTGGAAGATTTCCTAGGAACACTGTTACTGGTAAGTGTAACTGGTACTTTTCAAATACTCAGACCAGTTCGACTGGCACCAATAACAATGCCACATTCAAAGTCCCTTAAATCCCCATTCTTCCCCATTCTGATGCTCGGTTTGAACTTCAGCAAGTCAACTTCACCACATCTACATGCCTAAATTCATTGAGTTGCTGCTGTGTGATTGGCTGATTAGCAAATTGTGTTACCAAGCAATTGAGCAGGTGTACCTAATAGAGTGGCTGGTGAGTGTATAACCATGACTGTCTGAATTTGTGTCCAATGAAAGCTTTTTATGGTAAACACTAAAATCCATTTTTTTTTTTTTTTTTTTTCTTAGTGGCATTTGAGGTAGCTGTTTGTGTTTTGGACATGTGCTGTAAGGTAGAAAAAACATTTTGTTTCCTACAATAATCTTTGAATACTTTTGTAGGGGTCCTGGACATTCCTATGATAAGTTGGGTGGTCATGCTGGTTTCTCGTTTACTGGATTATGTTGCAACAGTAGAGGATGAAGCTGCAGCTTCAAAAAAGCCCTTAAATGGAAAGGATAGAGAACGGTTCATGTCAGGTAAGCAGTTAATTAGACATTTGTACCCACATGTGGGGTAGATAGCTCTTTCTTTTTTTCATATTAATATTGAGAAAATTCTTCTGTGTGCTCTTAATTTTCCATAATAAAGACTAAGGTAGGCAGCCTCGGCACTCCAGCTGTGTTGAGAATACATAACCCATCATGCTACTGCCTTTGGAAGTCATACCTGTGGCTATTCGATTTTGTGATGCCGCATATGATTTGAAGTTGCTGGAGTGCCAAAGTTCCCTACAACTGATATAATTTTCATATTTTTTTTTTTTCAGAGCAGATATTTTCATGAGTGCTAATTTTTTTCTCTATTTCTTTATATACAATGAATATTTTGTAGTCCTCTCTGGTAACCCATATATTTTTAATTGTAGTCCCTTGAGGGACACAGCCTTTAACCTTTGGGTTATTCTGCCACCTACAAGAGCATTGGACAATGTCAATAAAACCTGATATACCACGGAGCTGCTGCTAACTGTAAAATCTAGAGGGCTGCGTGTGTTTACTGATGGCTTTGGCATCTGGAGCCTGAAGTTGTCATAAAACGAGGCATCGTCAACACTCTGCAAATATATTTTGTCTTTTATCATTTCAATGTCACATCAGTAGGGCAAGTCACCGTTTTGTGGCCACGCAAGGTCCCTTCCTCACGGTGACGTAGTGGAATCACGTTAACCTTGCTCCTAGAGTCTATGCTATTTTAGTTTCAAGTGCCCTTTAGTTCCGTTGAGTGTGGCTGGATCCATTGCCCTCTCGGCTTAGCTTCTTACTACTGCTATATAAGGCCTTATGGCCCAAATCACCCTGGTATTAGATTGCTGACTGACCACAGAGGACAAAAGTGCACTGCATACCTTCTGCACATTCTCTATATGATCTTTCTGTGACCCTGATGGCTTTGAAGTCATTAGCCACAGACTGTGACTTCTGTGATTCTTAGTCTGCCCAGTCCTTGATGAGTATGCACCTGAGTAATGTTTTATAAGTGGGCTCACATTATGATACCACATCCAAAAATGAGTTGATCAACAGAAAACATAAAAGTGAGGACATTTTATGTACCCACCGAAGTATTATTAATAAAATGGACTTGTATTATTTCAATTTGGCAGCTGTGCTTGAGATCTAATTTTATAGGGCAGACTAAGTAATTCTAGTGGCTGAGAAGCTGCTGGATTGCTTTTACATGCGACAGTTGCCCCCTGCCTCCTCCGCTTTTACCAGGCTCTTCCTTGCTATCGGAGACCCCAATAACGGATGTGACTGGTGACATCTGGCTCCTGGGATATAGTGCAAGGAACTGATGTTATTCCTCCCACTGTATGACGTCAGAAACAGGAAGCAACAAGGATTGTCAGTTCCGGTTTTGGTTCATGTAAACAAGCTGTTACCGGCTTGAACAAGCATCTGATCAAACCGATCTTGAGATATGGGGTCTAATAGACCCTAGATCTCTCCACAAGTAGGACATGTTTTCAAAAGTGCACCAAAAAACACACCCCCCAATTGATGTCTATAAGAAACGCACCGAAACCACACCAAAAACTGTTCACTGTTTTAAAAATAAAAGAAGAAATAAAGACCAGTCCTCCTTGCAGTAAGGGGTGCCCCCACACGCTTGTCCCTGATTCCCGCAGCACCACTGACTGTGTCCCCGATTGCCAGCGCACCAGGTGCTCCTTGGATTTTTGGGGTCTCTGTGTCGCTAGCCTATGAAAGTCTCACATGTGTGATATCTCTATACTCCGGAGGAGTAGCAGAATGTGTTTTGGGGTGTAATTCGAACTATGCTTTGATGTGTGTTAGAAGTATCTTCTTAATTTTGTTAACTTTATCTTCATAAACGTGTGACAAAATAAATTATTGTTTAAAAACTCACCATCCCTCTTACTAAATACCTTGGACTGTCTACTTTCCAAAAAAGGTTTATTAGGAGGGTATTTGTACTGTCCTGGCATTTTAGGATCTCAAGAATTAGACAAGCATTCACTATCAGTATTGGATCAATTTTCAAATATATACCATAATTTGTATAATCTTACCAAAGTGTGTTTAACTTTCACAGATTAAATACACTGATTTTTTTTTTTTTTACCATAGAAACATAGTAGAATACATTTTTGTCTCAATTTATGAAGAAAGATTTTTTGCAAAAAATATTTTTTTTTCCCCAAAAATGTTTTTTGTTTTATTTAGCAAAAAAATAAAAAGTACAGTGGTGATTAAATACCACCATAAGAAAGCTCTGTCTGTCTCAAACAATGATAACAATTTCATTGGGGTACACTGTTGCACAAATGAGTAATTGTCATTCAAAGTGTGACAGCAGTGAAAACCTAAAAATGACCTGGACAGGAGAGAAGTCATAGTGAATGTTGGTTAATTTCAAGATGTTGTGTTATTTAACCCATTGTCAGTCACATCATTTTGGTTTTAAGTTGTTTAAAGTGAGGCAAGTAGCAAAGCGGTTGCATCACTCAGAATGAGATTTAAATCTTAATTGTTTAGTGGTATTTTATTTATTTATTTTTTGGTGTGTTTTAATTGTAAATTCCTTTGCGTAGGGAACCAGTGGAGTTTCATTAACAATAACCTGCACACACAGAGTCTAAACAGATCGTCTAAGGGAAGCAGCAGTTTGGATAGGCTATACTCCAGGAAGATCAGGAAACAGTTGGTTCACCACAAGCAGGTAATCTGTATGGTGTGGAATATATTAGTGTGTGATTATAAAAGTACAGAATTTATGATGTATGTTTATTTTAAAGTGTCATTTGTACGGGTTAACAAGTCTGTACAATATTTTACAAACACCATCCTGTGTTCCTAAATATTATGTTCATACTTGTTTTTTTTTTTTTTTATTGGAATTTTTTAACTCTTTAAAGTTGAACTATGTCTGAGTGATGGACATTCCGGTTCTTGCATATTCTTGACAAGCCGTTAATCTAAAAAAAAAAAACAAAAAAAAAAAACAACCAAGCTTACAATTCATTGACCCATCCTCCAAATTTGTAGGTGAAATTTCTTTTTTACTTTTACTATACCCTAGGGCTTAGTACTCCCTCCCACTAATTTGGCAGCTTTTCATACTTCTAATCTCTACAGACTATGGGAGATCACTGCTCATAATTCTGAATGTCCATATCCTGACCATAGTTCTATTTTAAGGCGTATTTGCATTTATGCTGCCAAATTTGGTTAACACCTACTTTATATTTGTTTCATGAACCAATTCACAAACAATAACTTTTAAAATGGCATGCTATCTTTTTTAGATGTCTTTTTTTTTTTCCCCTGGAATCTCCAGCGTTGAAAAATCCTACTTAGTTTTTTTTTTATGTAGGATGAGGCTGTGTTTGACATATTTGGCTCTGTCTGTACTGTGCCGGCAGATCTCTATGAACAGTTATAATACAAATTTGAACATGACCTGTCCTAAAAAAGGGTTGAAGGTTTAGAAGCTGGGCTTCTTCATTGGGCTTCTAGCATTATATGCTAATGAGTTGGAGCTCATGTTGTCTTAAAAGAGAAGTATGGGTTTTCTTTTTTAGCTTTATCCTATTCCCTGTGAGCTGCTAATACATAAAATTATTTCAAGCCCTCTGAGAAGTTCACCCTTTCTGTTAAAAACAATGTTAATACCTGTGGGAGTGGCTTTAGTCTTAAGATTCTTATGCCGACAATCTTGTCTGGATCCTCGTCTTTTCCTTCTCCTGTGTTTGATGTCGGCTCTGTGCTGTCTACACTCCTCCTTCCCCTCACAGGGAGTAGGATAAAGTTAAAAAAAAAGCCCATACTTCTCCTTTAAGCCTCTATATTGGGACAGACTTAAGCCAACCATAGATGGGTGGAAATTCAGCCAGTTCAGCATGGATCAGCTGAATTTTGATCTATCTATGGGCAGGCTGGTTTTACAGAAGTAGATCTCTCAATCAATTTCTGTACAACCAACCTGTTGGAAAACGTTTGCTTTATCAGTGCTAATGAGTGTATTTTGGTGGCAAGGAAGCCTCCCTGCTGGCAGAATACAATAGCTCCACGGTAGGGATTCCCCCATTCCACATGGAGTATGGCCAGCCTTACACCAAACTTATCCAGAAATGCTAGCAGTCAGCAATGATTTCTTCCCATACGAAAAAAGGTAATGTAATAAATAATTTTTTAAAACAATTTTCAGGTATACTTTGGCTTTTTTTTTCAAATGGGACTGTGAAAGTAGAAGTTCAGAAAGCAAAATAGGAATTACCTTCTATGTACCTTGCTAGCAGTGAGACCGAGAAGATCCCTTATTGTGTGACTAATAGTTTTCTGTAGCATAGTATGATCTGTTCATTTTTTTTTAGTTTTTTTCACCTGTTGGACAAAAATGTGACAATAGATAGTTGAAACAAAAGCTACCAGTTTGCCTACAGTATCAACCCTATATAGGGAGCCTATAGGATAGTTTAGCATTCCAAGCCTATAATTTATACAAAGGCAACAATGGTATAACTGTAATGAAGGAGTCATCAGTAAAGCTAAGCCGGCCATAGATGGTTTGAATCCTGGCCAATTCAGCAGGAACCTGCCTAGATTCAAATAATCTATGGGCAGTCTGTTTCTAGCCAATTCAATTGTTGTACAACTTAAGTACAACCAGCCTGTCAGATTTTTCGTGCAATTATTGCCAGGGGCTGTAGCCGCTAGCAATAATCACTGTGTTCTCCTGGCAGGGATGGCCCCTCCCACCAAGAAGAACACAATAGCTCTGTGAGAGGGACTCCCCATCAAAAAACTGACTGCGTTGATGGGGGAACCAATTGATTTTCTTTCCTGCAACCCGCAGTTGCAGGGAAGAAAATCACATCATCTATTGCCAGCTTACTGATACCTGATATCTAAATGGACTTTATTGTAACTTCACTGCTAACCAAATATTTGTTGTGCTCTGTGCTGTATTGTACTTCTTTTTTTATTGTCCCGTATATGGCCCTGAAAATAGAATCATCTCAAAAAGGATGATCTCTGTTGCCCTGAGCAACTACATTTTCCCTACTATGTCTTGTGTGAAATGGAGAATCTGCTTTCAGCAATTAGTGTTTTCTGTTTGAAATCTATTAAAAAAACATTCCATATACATTCTAATGTTCTGTTATGCGCTATTCAGAGGATATCAATATATTCCCACGCAATACAATCACTAGCCACTTTATTAGGTACACCTCTATAATTGCTTGGTAACACAAATTGCTAATTACTTGGCAGCACCTCAATGCATTTAGGCATGTAGACGTGGTGAAGACAACTTGCTGAAGTTAAAACCGAGCATCAGAATGGGGAAGAAAGGAGATTTAAGTGATTCGGAGGCCTCGTTCACACCATACGAGCAGAAAAACTGATGGAATTTGACATGCATATTTCACTTGCACGTTTTCATGCGTGCTTCAATGAGTTTTATACGATTTGCATAATTGCACATGATGCTAGTGTTGTGGTATGAGCAGTTCACATAGAAAACAATTGATTTTGTTCTCTTGTGGAACACGTGCAGAAAAACTTGTCTCAACACCATGGTGTGAATGAGTCTTGAACGTGGCATTGTTGTTGGCGCCAGACAGGCTGATCTGAGTATTTCAAAAACTGCTGGTCTACTGGGATTTTCACACACAACCATCTCTAGGGTTTACAGAGAATGGTCTGAAAAAGAGAATATCCAGTGAGCAGCAGTTGTGTGCACAAAAATGCCTTGTTGAGGTCAGAAGAGAATGGGTAGACTGGATTGAGATGATAGGCAACAGTAACCACACAACCAGGATATGCAGAATGCCATCTCTGAAAGCACAACTTGTCAAACCTTGAAACAGATGGGCTACAGCAGTAGAAGACCACGCCGGGTGCCACTCCTTTCAGCTAAAGACAGGAAGTAGAGGCTGCAATTGGCTGCACTGGCTCACCAAAATTGGACAATAGAAGTTTGGAAAAATGTTGTCTGGCTGATGAGTCTCGATTTCAGCTGCGACATTCAGATGGTAGGGTCAGATTTTGCTGTAAACAACACGAAAGCATGGATCCATCCTGCCTTGTATCAGCGGCTCAGGCTGGCTGTGGCGTAATGGTGTAGGGGACATTTTTTTTTTTTTTTACACTAGCAAGGTGTACCTAATAAAGTGGCCAGTGAGTGTATTAATCATCTTAAAAAGTTACCCTGCAACTTTTTTTTATATTTTAACCACTTTATTTGGAAGTGTTGACTTACCTGCCTTTATTAAACATTCTTGTGACCTAGCAAATGCTTTATGCTTCCCTAATGTTGTCATGGAATAAAGATGTTTGTTCTAGTTAACGCTGAAGTGCGTTTATTATTTCATTTAATAAATTAACTTTTCTTCTAGCAACTCAACCTACTGAAGGCAAAACAGAAGGCTTTAGTTGAGCAGATTGAAAAGGAGAAAATACAAAGCAACAAGGGATCATCTTACAAGCTTTTGGTGGAACAGGCAAAACTTAAGCAAGCCACATCTAAGGTGAAGAGATTAAAAAAAAACAAATAAACAGTTTTTAAACAATTAGGGTATTTGCAGGTTTTCTTACAAGTCTCTTCCTTGTGTATCTAGACTTATGATTGAACTTAAACTTCTTATATTTACATGTCTGTATATTCAAAGCAATTTGCTCCACCAAGAAAAAGACACGCCTCAAGAAGCTAAGGCATCCCTTGGATGAGTTGGATCCCTTATCCACAGCCTCGATGCAGATGGGAGAATCCTCCCTTCTGACAGGGCGCTAGATTGACTTCTATACCACCTCCCTGCCCGTACATGTATCCACACTTGGCTGGTCCATGCTGAACTTGCTGAATTTTGAATTATCTCCAGAGAAAACATGTTTTTCTTATTTATGTAAATAATTACATTTCTGTTAATCACTTTCCATTTGACATTTTTCAAATGAATGTTAAAAGCAGCTTTTTTTTTTTTTTTCTGCTAGGAAATTACTTGGAAATCCCAAACATATATTTTGGGAAAGCAGAGACCCTGGAGAGTAAAATGTTATTTGCTGCCTGATATTTTTGCAGCTATTTATCAAACGCAAATTTTCTGGAAATGGTACTTAAATTAATCTTAGTGCACACAATATAATACTCAATCTTTAAAATATAAAAGTTGATGATCTGCTGTGTAATAGATACCAAATATATCAAGATGTAAAATTGCGCAGTTCTATACTCTACAGTACTGAAGTTGTCCATAGGCGATGCTCTAAAACCTTTGCAGGTTATCTGTTTAGAGAAGTGGTCTGCAAACTGTAGCCCGGGGCCGGATGTGGCCCTTTGCTTGGTTTTATCTGGCACTTGGGGCACTGTTCCATCTACTTACTCCAATATTGGGACATCATTCCTGCCACTGTAACCAACAATGGGGTGCAAATCCTCCCATTTACACGAATGATAGTATACAATTCCACCCAATATCACCAACGATGGGGCACTATTCCTCCCAATTACATCAACAATGTGGCACTATTTCTCTTGCTGACACCTACAATGGGGCACACTTCCTTCTGCTGACACCAACAGTTGGGCAGTATTCATTCCACTGACACCTACAGTAGAGCAGAATTCTTCACTGACACCAGTGATGGGATACAATTTTTTCCAATGACACCAACCATGTGGCACCATTTCTCCAATTAACACCAATGGTGTGACCCTGTTCCTCCCACTAACACCAATGAAAAGTCACTATTTCACTCACTGATGCCAGTGATTGGGCACAATTACTCCCATTGACACCAAAAATGGGTCACAATTCCTCCTCCTGACATCAATGATGAGAAACTATTCTTTCCACTGACACCAACGATGGGGTACTATTCCTCCCCTAATTCCAAAGACTAGGCGTTTACTCCCAGTGAAGCCAGGACATTTTCTGCTCTGACATCCCGCAGTCCGGGCCCCCTAAAGTCTGACAGAACATTAACTGGCCCTTTGTTTAGAAAGTTTTTAGACCCCTGGTTTAGAGTTAAATGTGAGCTCTGGTGTTAAAATGATTGCTCTTACTTTGCTGTTTGTGGCGATACTTCACGTGTGCCCATTGGCACAGGGTAACGGGGTGCTTAAAAAATATATTTTTTTGTAAATTTATTTAAAGTTTTTTTGCATTTACATTGAAATAAGGTATCTTTTACTCACATGTCTACACCCTGCTCAAACCATTTCTTCCTTCTACTGTGCATCTTCACCCACCCAGAGGTTTTATTTAAAAAAAAAAAAAAAAGAAAAAAAAAGTACATTCACTCATACAGCATACAAATGCAACCTTCACTCCCCTGTCATTGCATACAAGGTCACAAGTATAAGGCATCAGGCACATGAGCAGAATGAACTCTGCTGTTAGCAGCATCTGGTGTTTTTGTTTATGTCCATGAACTTCGCTGCACGGTATTTTGGCCATACACATGCAAGCATGTATGCACATATTTGTGCACAGCATTCGGGAGCATAAAAAAAATTCCCCAAAGCAGCGTTTGGAGGGGAGTATATAAGCGCACATATACTTATTCTAGTGGCTAAAATACATTAATTTTATAGCAGATAGAATGACTTTACACTTATACGTCTATAAACTACATACATTCATAAATGCTGGTAAAGAAGGAACATTAGAGCATTTTTTTTTTTCCGCCAAAGTCATAATAAATTAATTGCAGCGATAATAAACACAGTTGGAGTTCAACAGGCATGAATGGTTATAAAGCTTCAACATTGGTCAACTCCAGCCAAACTATGCAGGTGTTGGCAACTTTAGCTGGACATGTCCTCGCTTCAAAGATCTGCTTATCGCTTTTATTCAACCAGCCTTACAAATCTGGTAGGAAGGTGTAGATTTTTCCAGTAGAATACTATAAAGGTTTTAACGGTATCTTTAAAAACTTGCAGTAGAGTTTTATGGTTTTCTTTTTTTAGTATTCTGCTATGTTTAGCATAATATAATACGGTTCAGCAACTTTTCATTTTTCCTCATACAGCACTTTAAAGATTTGATACGGCTGCGTCGCACTGCGGAATGGCCCCGATCTGCTCAAGACACCGAAGTATCTGCAACAAAAGAGAGCCCAGAGATTGAACCACTTCCTTTCACTTTGGCACATGAGCGATGTATTTCTGTTGTACAGAAGCTTGCCCTCTTCCTCCTATCCATGGACTTCACTTGCCATGCTGACTTACTTCTGTTTGTCTGCAAGGTAGGAGCACTATTTGTTTAGTCGTTTCTTGCTTTTATGTGACGTTCTTTTTCTGACAGTCATTTTTTTAGTTCTCATTCATAAGAGTGCTGAGGCATGTACACCACGAAACGAGCACTGTATTTATGCAGCTGAAGCTGTGTGCATTAACAACAATCCCGTGTAAGCAGTTCACCACAAATGAAAGGGTACGGTTTAATAAAGTGCTCAATACACAAGGCTGTGTTAAAGCAGAGCCCCACCCAAAAGGGGAAGTTCCGCTTTAAGGCTTTGTCTCCTATAAGGATTGGCACCTTGAGGAGGTTGGGTTAAGCAGGTACTTGATTTTTACAGGTACCCGCTCTCACTTCCACTGCTATCGCCTAGGCGATCAGAAGTGAAAGTTGTCCTCCAACCACCACCACGTTCCCTTTGCCACAGCAGAAATCATGTGACTGGGACCAGAGCACCTTCAGAATAGATGAGCATAGACCTCTTTCCTTTACAGGGTAGTTGGAATAGGGGTGAGAGCAAGTTTAGATTTAGTTAGGATTTGACTGGAATGCTACTTCAGGAGTTGATGATAGTTCTTTAACACTGCCTTATGTATTTGGCGCTTTAAATTTGAAAGTAACATTTCATTTGTGGTGTAGTGATGACATGGGATTGCTGTCAATGATTTTAAAATGCTGTCTTAAAAGAGAGAGCTTGTAAAAGTGGCCTAACAAAATTTACTATGCAAGGTATCAAGCAGTTAGAGATTGCAGCCCTCAAATACTGATTTAAATACAAACTGGTTTTAGTCTTTTATTCCAACAGTTTACAAAACAGCAGCTCATATAAAATTTTTATTAAAGAAGATCTAAACCCTAACTGGGTGGCATTTTAGTTTGCTAAACCACTGCACAGTGTATCGTGGAGAACTGCCTTTTTTTTAACACAATACTTTTCTCTTAATTGTACAGTGCTGGATATGGGACTTGTATTCGTATTATGTGCCGCTACCTTCAGGTGATTGGACACTGGGGAATAAAAGGTTTGCTGGAAATGCTCCCAGTGCACCCTTATATAACCCCACCCACTTTATGGGACCTCTAGTATTTTTCTAGTGTCCTTTAAAGTGGAGTTTTCCCAATGACAACTTGATAATCAAAAAAAAAAATATTTTATCAAGGAATGTACATTCCTCATTAATAATTATGCTGCAAAAATTAGTGTGTGCTGTGAATTACCTCCAGCATTGTTCCTTTTTCATCTTGGATGCTGCCATTTTGTTGAAGCCCAGAGCCCCTGAGCAGCAGTAAATCTTTAGGCCGTCAGCAAACAGCAGATCAGCCTCTATATTTTCGCGGCAGTGCTAAAAAAAAAAAAAAAAAATAGAGCAGTTGAGCTTGAGCAGAGCAGGGTGAGGCAGTGTATTACTGGATTTTAAAGTGGAACTTCACCCAAAAGGGGAAGTTCCACTTGTCTGCCTCCTCCACACCCCCCCCACCCCCCTTAAGTTTTGGCACTTATTTTTGAGTGGAGACAGGGAGCAGGTGTCTGGCTTTGATTGGCGATTGCTGAGCCTTTGAGACATCACAGGCAGGGCTGCTGTTCAATATCACGGGGCCCCGTACAGCCTACCTGACAGGCCCCACCTCCAGAGAAAATATCAAAATAATTTTTATGGTAAAAATACACTAAAAGTTTTATTAATGTACACAATCCCAACAAAATTCTTGTTAAATATAAGTGATAAACCTGTACTGAGTTAATAAAGCTCTGTGTGTAATTGAGGTCTTAGGGCTCATTCACATGGGTGACGTGGCCTGTAGAGTGGGAATCGGTGGTTTATGTGGCTGGAGCCGCTTGGAGCTGTTTGCAGACAACCTATGTTACACTATGGAAATGCTGCAGGTCCTAATTTGACAGGAATATAGGTGCAGGTGTACAGCCCTGAACAACAGACAGCATTCAGGGCCACTTCCCCACGCCTGCACACCTGTAAGATTAAATCCTGCTGTGTCCCCATAGTGTGACAGGTGGCTCTGCCCACGTGAACAACCCACTCATTCATGCTGTACAGGCCAGAGGACCTGTGTGAATGTGGCATTTTTGACAATTTTTTTCTTCAGCCCATTAACCACTTGAGCTCCAGAGGATTTACCCCCCTTAATGACCAGGCCTCTTTTTGCTACTCGGCGCTGCACTAATTCAGCTGATAATTGCGCGGGTCATGCAATGCTGCACCCAAACGAAATTTACGTCCTTTTTTTCACACAAATAGAGCTTTCTTTCGGTGTAATTTTATCACCTGTGTGCTTTTTATTTTTCACGCTATAAACAAAAAAAGGCCAAAAATTTTGAAGAAAAACAATATTTTTTACTTTCAGCTATAAAAAATATATAGTAAACTCAAAGTTGGTTATAAATTTAGGCCAAAATGTATTCTGCTACATGTTTTTGGTAAAAAAAAAAAATCCCAATAAGTGTATATTGATTGCTTTGTGTGGAAGTTATAGCGTCTACAAACTATGGTATAAATACTGCAATTTACGCCATTTTTCTGCTATACAGCGCTGCGCTAGTTTAACAGACAATTGCGTGGTCATGCAATATGGTACATAAATGAAATTTACATCCTTTTTTTCCCCACAAATTGAGCTTTCTTTCGGTGGTATTTGATCGCCTGTGCAGTTTTTATTTTTTTGCGCTATAAAAAAAAAAAGGCTGACAATTTTGAGGAAAAGAAAACAATATTTTGGACTTTTTGCTATAAAACATGTCCAGTAAAAAAAAAATGCAAAAATCAAATTTAGTCATAAATTTCTGCCAAAATGCATTCTGCGACATGTCTTTGCTAAAAAAAAAAAAAACCAATACGTGTAAATTAATTGGTTTACGTGAAAGTTATCGTGTTTACAAATGGCGGGAAAGAGACTGGGATTTTTAGGGGTTTTTTTATGCTAATAATGGCAGCGATCAGCGAATTATGGTGGCGATCAGGGACTTGTGGCAGCAACCAGCGACTTATGGCGGGACTGCGGTGGACATTCTGATATTGGGGGGTACTGACTTGGGGTCACTGACATCCCCAAAAACAATACAGTGATCAGTGCAAAAAAAAAAAAAACACTGACACTGTACTAATGGCAATGGGGAGGAAGGGGGTTAACTTTATTTTGCAGGGAAGGGTTATAGGAGTGAGGGGAGTGTTTTACTAGGGGGCGGGGGTGTGTACTGGATGGGACAAGGCTGATCGAGAAAGAGAAACTGTTCTTTCTCGATCAGCTCATCCTCGAGCTGACAGGGAAGTGACAGACAGCACAGCTACTGCAGCTGTGCTCTCTATCACTGTTTGCCGCCGATCGCCGGGAAACAGCCGCTAAGGAGCGGCTGTGACCCGGCGACTGACATCTGCGGCGGTGATCGGCGGGACAGATAGGGCGGCGGCGCGCCTCGCGCGCGCCCCCTATTTGTTTACAAAACACACGTTTTAAAACGTGGTTTTGCCTGCGAGTGCCGCCCTGCCGCCGTATATGTACAGTGGCTGGGCGGCATGTAGTTAATTTCACACGCTAATGTGTGGGAACATGCAAAAATACTGCAGGCATATTGTTTTAAAAGTGTGTTGCACCTACCACACAGTAGTGTGGTGCCATGCGTTTTGGTGGCTGTGAATGCATCTGTGTTTACTAGATGTGTGGAGGTGCAATTAAGTATTCTTGGTACCTGCGCACATCTGCAAAGGGCATTTTGTTTCTTTGCTGTGTAGGAAAATGCATGCTTCTTGCATGCGTTTCTGCACCACAAATGATGTGAAAAAAAGTCCTAAGGACCGGTTCACACTATAGAAATGCAGTCTAGATGTGTTCCGGATGTGTTTTTGCATGCACGTTTTTGACACATTTTTAGCATGTTCCGATGTGTTTTTTTGAGGCATTCCAGTTAATTTTTTCCCTCTCTTTCTCTTATTTAATTAGGATATGTGCATTCCAGTGCGTTTCGGTGTGCTTTTTATGCGTTTTACTGTGTTACAGTACAGTTCTGTGCAGGAAAAATGCAATCTGTTTTTTTTTTTTTTTTTTTTCTGCAACTGGAACGCACTGGAATGGCAAACTCTGATGTGAACTGTGATATTGACAACCATATCACCTACTTTCTGTGCGTATTGGATGCAGAAAAAATAGCAACTGAAACACATGTAGTGTGAACTGGCCCTAAAGGTTATTATAGGTAAGGGAACGGGACTGACCAGGAATTGTGAATTCAATCAGACTAGTGGCGAGATACAATTAGGAATCTTATAATAATGCGAGATCTGAGCTGTAGGTGATAGGAAATGAGACACATGAACTTGATCAGTAAATAGTTAAATAAAAAATTGAGCAGTGATCTATAGATTTGCAGAGCTGTCCAGTCTATGCTGGGTGGCATCTGGGGGGGGGGGGGGGGTCAGCACTTCCTGACTCTAAAACATGAAGAATATTTAACCACTAGCCTACAGGGCACTTATACCCCCTTCCTGCCCAGACCAATTTTCAGCTTTCAGCGCTGTCGCACCTCCTGGGTTTTTATTTTTTGCTAAACAAATCAAAAACTGAAAATTTTGAAAAAAAAATGTTTTCTTTGTTATAAAATTTTGTCAGTAAGTGATTTTTCTCCTTCACTGATGTGCTCTAATAAGGCTGCACTGGTAGGTGGCACTGATGAGGAGGCACTGGTAGGTGGCACTGATGGGTATTGACAAGCATCACTGGTGGGCACTGAAACGCAGCACTCATATATGTCACTGTTGGGCGGCACACTGACTGTCACTGTTGGGCGGCACTGACTGTCACTGTTGGGCGGGCACTGACTGGCAGCACTGGCAGGTGGCATTGATGGGCACTGACAAGTGGCACTGCTGGGGCTACACTGATAATCAGGGCACACTGATCATCAGTGCCCTGATGATCAGTGTAAATGTCCCCTCTGGGTAATGCTGCTTACCGGCTCTCCCCTCCTCACGAGCTGTCAGCGTGACAGCTTGTGAGGAGAGAAATGGCGATAACCGGCATTTCCTTATGTACATGCGATCAGCTGTAATTGGACACTGCTGATCACATGACAGAGCCAACGTCTTCGGCTCTTTCCATTGATCGGTGATCCACTGTGCCCCAGGGACACAGCGCACCAGCGATCGCCACGCTGCGCGCCCCTGAGGTCATGCATGTGAGATTAGAGTGGAAGGACGTCATATGACATCCTCCCAGAGCAAGAGAACAACCTTTCACCCGCCATTTCCTTATATGGCGGGCGGGAGGTGGTTAAACAAATGATTGCATAAAAAAAGAAAAGTGTCCAAGCCAGATCATGTGACAGACCTCGCCTTCAATCATAGAGTTCTCTACAGTGTTTAGCAGAGAGAATGCAGTGAGACAACATTGGGTCAACACTACTGCCTATATTTTATCACCTGGATGCAAAATGTATAAGATATTCTTAATTTTTTATCTGTAGTACTATGAATTATGAGTTCTGAGCAGGAAAACTCCTGCCAAGCAAGGGTGGGTATGGAGAAAATGTAAGTCTGTTTTTGTTTTCAAAAGCCCCTTTAACATTTCATTTCTGTTCAGTCTTTCAGGTCTCAACCTGTTGCATTAGACTGCATTCTATTTATCTTCAGCCTGCCCAGAGCTGGTGGCCTTAGTATGAAATAACGGAACATTTTAAAATTTTGTATTTTTTTTTTTTCCAATTATGCTACCTTGCAAACTTATGCACTCTTCTTGAAATTTAACAGGTACTTGCTAGGATAGCCAATGCTACCCGCCCCACCATTCATTTGTGTGAAGTAGTGAATGAGCAGCAGTTGGAAAGGCTTTTGTTGTTGTTGGTTGGTACAGACTTCAACAGAGGAGACATCTCTTGGGGTGGTGCCTGGGCACAATACTCTCTGACCTGCATGCTCCAGGATATTTTGGCAGGTATAGTAGTAGTTTTTTTTTTTTAGCTGAATTTCTCATGTGTCTCTTTTGCAACACTGCTGCATAGTTGAAGAGTTAAAAGCTCACATAATAAAACGAAAAAAAAATAAATGTTAGAAGTATTTCTCTTGAGTGGCTTTTACAAATATCAGTTTCTATCACTGTAATTGTATTTGGCAGGAGAGCTATTGGCCCCTATAGCAGCTGAAGCCCTTGAGGAAGGTGCCATGGGAGAGGAAGCTGGTGCCTCGGCTGGAGACTCTGATGACTCCTTACAACAGTCCTCTGTCATACCATTGGTGGAAACCGTGGATGAGCCTTTAACACCCGACATCACAGGTACGCAGAAAGCTTATAAACAGGATAAGGTTTATAAAAATGTGTGTAGTATCGCTGCAAGATAGATTGAAATAGCTTTATTTTTAATATTATTTGTGTTGTCGTATTGGCATTTAGGTAGGTTGTTTATCTTTTTTAATTATTGTCATTCGTAATATTTTTATTTCTATTTTTTTGTTTTGTAATATAATTTTACAGCAAAAATTGTCTGCTTGGCAAATATAGAGTTTACATTGATAAGGATCTAGTTCTGACACTATAGCTTATAGTTTTATTTTATAACATTTTCTGTAAGCACAGACAGAGCTGTACACTTAAAATGAGAAGTAGTTGCAGTCTGCCATTGCAGTACAAATAGGCTAATAAAAGTCATGATTTATTAATAATCGTTAAAGCCTTGAGGTTGGTATTTGGTTACCACTTTACATGCTATTTAATGCAAAGTATGAAAGCACAGCCTTAAAATTGCCCAGTAAACGCCCTCATGGCCCAGATTTTTAGGTGGCAGACATAAGTGCTTGGCAGTATTAAAGCTGTTTTCATCACCCAAAGGTGCTCCTCCTCTATCATCTTTGGATAAAGATAAAGAAATTGACCTTGAATTACTGCAAGACCTGATGGAAGTTGATATTGATCCTTTAGATATTGATTTGGAGAAAGATCCCCTCGCTGCCAAAGTCTTCAAGGTATGGCATATAAACTATTATGAAACATTTTTTTGCATGGTTTCGTATTCATGACCATAGTCCTATTATAGTGCCTAGTAAAAATGTGTGGTTTGGATCTCTTCATTTATACAACTTGTTTAGTTTTACAAAGATAAAATGTGTTAATCTGAATTTTTGACAGTGGGTTTATGGGTTCTGCATCTACTGACTTTTTTCAAGCTGCAAGATGCCAGGCTGTAATCCTTCATTTCAGGCTTCATTGGTTAGTGAATAATTTACCTAGAAGTTCCAACTTTACAGCCTGCCTGCTTTTTATGGGTCAGATACATAATAGCACAGACAGGTATGAGAACAACAGCCTTGTAATTTGCATCTTTTACAAACACATTGACAGAGCTTATGTTACTGTGGTGACAGAAAGTCACTCTGTACGGCAATCATACAGTCACAGCAAACTTTTATGGCTTTAAAAGCTACCTCTGAGCAAAACCTGTAGTTTTGTTTTTGAGTCGGTGTCCGTGAGCTGAAATCTGTTTTGGAATTAAGTTCCCATGTTAACATGTTAATCCATACATCAGTCTTCTGCACATTTTACAATGAATTCTCATAATTCTCTGTTATTATTTTGGGGTATACAGCCTATTGGTGGTAAATGCCCTGCCTATAGGAGATTGGACACACAACAAAGTTTGCTTGCTTTATAATGGCACAGGGACTGTGAAAGGTAGATGTTTGGGAAACTTTCAGGTCCAGTCTTCCTTGGTTAGCTTCGGTTTGTTTGTTTTGCCTTTTTTTTGTCCCTCTTTTTTTTTTTTTATGTCCCTCTTTTTTTTTATGTTTAGGCTTTGTGAAAACGGTTTAAGATCAGAATAGATCGTAAACTTTAACTTGTAACTGGCATTTTGGCAAGTTATCTTACCCCCCTCTCTAGCCGATGGCTGTTGTCGTCTCTCCCATCACTGATTCCCTGCAGCTTCTTTTTCCTTTACTACTGTGCCCAAATCTTTCTTGGATGTCCCTTAACTTTAATTGTTGTACAGGGATTGTGAGTTCACTCTTGGGTGCCTATTTTAAAGACAACCCAAGCAGTAGCTTGGTCTACCCATTTAATTGTTAGATTGCTTGCAGTATATTTACTAGCCTGTCTTTTTCCCAAGATTTTTCTTCACTCAAGACTTCATCTATGCACTGCTGAATGCAACTTGTTATGCAGCTATCTGGATCTGATAATCCTTGGAGGTTGTACCTGGACCCTGCTGGACCTGAAGATTGCAGAGCTACTTGGAAATGTGCCCTTGGGCACTGGGCTCAGCCGATGGTGATATCCAGTGATTTGCATTTTGTGTTAGTCACCCCCAGAGTGCTCTCCAGGTTCAGAGCCATGGCACTGCCTTTTGTGTGCCAGTATTTGACTTTTATTAGTATGTCACATGACACTGATCATCAGGAGCTACTACATTAATTCTTACTGGCACATATACATTCATTCTTAATGGCACCCACACACATCTTAACCTGCAAACCTTAAATGTGGTGGCTGCTTTATTTATTTATTTATTTGTCTTTTTACAATCCGTTCATCTGGCCAGGCAAACAACTGCCTTACAGTGTCTCCAATCAGAATTGAGGAGCGATGGATTAAGCTTTGGTCAGCAGCATTGTCAACCTTGGGAGAGTTAATGGCTTTGATCAACCATAAGGATGTGTACTTGCACATACTGATTTTCCTTCCACACCAGCATTTTCTTAACTTTGCATTAAAGGACTGTCCTGTTTAGTTTGTGAACCTTCCCTTGAGCTTCTCAAGTTTTCACGAAGGTCTTGCCTCATTGGACACAAGTGACGCCATGGGACCTTCCCTTGGCCCCAAAAACTGCCTTTTGATCCCTGTGACAGATTTCACCCAGAAAGTAGTTTTCCTGGTGGCAGTTACCTCTGGCAGAAAGGTTTCAAAGCTGGCCACTTTGTCTTGTAATGAGTCCTTATTGGTGTTGCACAGTAGCAAGGTGGTCTGAAGACCATACGCTTCCTTTTTGCTTAAAGATATATCTGAATACTTCTCAAATGAGAATATTATTCTGTTCTCTCATTTTCCTCCATTCTTTGAATGTACTGCAGGTAGCTATAGCATCCACCCAAAAATCGAACTCGTTTTTTATCTTGCTCGAGGGAACTAAGAAGGGTTTTCCTGCCTTGTGATCCATTAATACCAGGTGAATTTACCAGGTGCCTCTATACCCTGATAGGGGAAGAAGCTGCCTTTTCTGGTTAAAGCTTATTTTACTTGATCTATTAGCACATCTTGGGTGTTTCAGCATCAAGCTTTTGTTGCACAGCCTTGTAAGGATGCTACCTAGTTTTCAGTTCACACATTTACTAAGTTCTGCCAGGTTGATATTCCGAGACCGCTGCTGAAGTCCATTTTGGCTGCAGTAAGTTGCAGGTTGCCATTTAAGGTCCGTTTTGCCTTTGTTTGGGGGTCTCTTGGCAGGGTTGTTGCTGCCATGTTACCTGTGCCTCATTTTGGCAAGTCCAGTTCATTAGGATTTAAAGACCTGTGTCCTGTACTGTAGGTATGATTGGATTTTTTTTTTTTTACAAACCTGTAAATTATTTTTTGAAATATAGTCCAGGACACAAGACCTTCCTCTCTTGTTTGTTACAAGACCTGGGGGTTGCATAGTGATGAGAGGGGTTTTATGCGGGAGGGCTAAAAATTTCGAGTGGATTTGCCAGTGTCCAATGACCGGAAGGTACTGCATATAACCCATATGTTATGATCTTAAGATCTGTGTCCTGTAATGGTAAGTAAAAGAAAATCCAGTTTTCTTGCTGATTTGAGGGACGCAAACCCACTGTTGCCTGATTTTTTTTTTTTTATGCCTGCACGATTATTTATACCACTTTGGGCTTCATGTATTTTTTAGTACAAGCTTAAAAGCCTATGCATTTTGTTGATTTTAGCGCCTAGAAAAGGACCAATTTTGTTTGGTGTCCAAACTCCTGTTGACAGGGCACACATCTTTATGAAGTTCTTCAATGAATTTGGGGAGAAGGGGTTTTTATGTAAGTACACAAAAACCTTTTGGCCAATTTAACTGGGTACACACTCTCCCAAACATTTTCGGCCAGTGTGTACAGCTGTCTATCTGACAGAAGCTGGTCTAATGACTGTTTTTTGTCAAAGGGACATGCTGGGATAACGGCATCTGATCAGTAAACTCTTCATGAGGGGGCAGGAGAACCTCCCCAATTTCAAAATTTAATAGAACAGCAAGGGGGATCACCACACCAACATCGTTTATGTTATCAGTGTGTTCCCAGCTTAAGATCCATTGTTTAAATGATTATGGTGTTCTGTGTATAGAAACAGATGGGGAGTGCGTTTTCAGATAATCTGTGCACTAAATGCACTCATACAGAGAGAACTGATCATGCTTGACGCATCACACACTATCTTTGGACAAATAAAATTAGAGTACTTCTACACCAGTATTTAATGAACTTCTACCATCTACAGTTGTTTTCCTTATCAATATCCACTCAACTAATATGCATTGTTGAATTTTTATCACACCATTTTATGCATATACAAAGTTACCTGGAAAACATGAACTGTTTTTGTGACTTGCCAGCAGGTTTGGTAAACACAGTGTAAATGTTGATAGCATAATAGTGCCAAATTGAGCAACGTATTTCAAGCTAATACCACTTTGTCCTGTAATCAGACATTAGATGTGTAGCATGCCTCATAATGCCAGTAATTTGACCTATCATAGAGTTCTCACTGACCTGGCAGACTTTGACAAGATTTGTTTCTGTGGCTATTTATAGTGGTTTAAGATGTTTTGTTCATATCCAATCAGAGCTTTCTCCTTTTTTCACCAAAAGCCAATCAGCAGCACTTGGTATGATTATTGGGGCACTGACTATACCACCTACAATTACAATCCTTACATCGGAGGTGTTGGAATTCCGGTGGCTAAACCAGCAGCCACTATTGAAAAGAATGGTACACAGACAGTGACAGTATCTGTATCTCAAGGTAAGCCTTTTATCAAATGTTTGGATGTCTAGGTATACAATTTAAAAAAGTAGAAAGACACTTGGCAACGTTTTAACTGAACAGGTTTTTATCTTTCTGATAGGCTCCTGTTAATATTACTTTTTTTTTTTTTTTTTTTTTAATCTGTCTCTAAACAAATTTATTTCTGGACATGTATTTTTAAATATTAATTATATTTAACAATTTTTATTCATAGCTTTAGATGCTCGTTTGGAGGTTGGCCTTGAACAGCAAGCAGAATTGATGTTGAAGATGATGTCCACACTTGAAGCAGATTCAATTCTACAAGCACTGACCAATTCATCTCCAACATGTATGCATATAACAGACAAACTGCTATAAGTTTGCACTGTACTTATATACTAACATAGCATTCTAGCATAAAATGCTTACTTTATTGAATATCATTGATGGACGGTCCTATCTCATTCACTGTAATGTATAAGCAAATTGCACAAAATGGCAGTGCAGTAAACCGTTTTCTTGCAGTGTAATATTAAGTTGCTTATAGTGGATTGTTAGCATGAACAGTTTGTAGTTTTGAAGACTCAATCTTTCCTTCTCTAAAGTCTACATATTAGCCCTGTGTATACTTTATCTTCTGTTTTTAGAGATATTGTCTTGCTGATTGGTAATTGATGAGCTGTAGTAGTATGACCTGATGTTTGAATATAGTTTTCTTTCTTTTCCTTAGTATCCCAGCCTTCCAGTGGTACAGACGACTCATTGTTACGGGGGCTACATGCAGCTAGTCAGACAAGCCAGCTTATTGTTCAGTCGTCTTCCATTCCTATGCTGAGTGCCTGTTTCAACAAGCTCTTTTCTATGCTGCAAGTGCATCATGTTCAGGTAGAGCACCTTTTATTACAATATATATTTAGTATTGATCCACTGCATCTTTAGCACAGAACATACATTCCACATTAATAATTATGCTAGCAAACTTAGTGTGTGCTGTAAATTAGCTCCAGCATTGTTCCTGTTTCTTCTGGCTGAAGACCTCTCCCCCATTACCAGGGAAACCACTCTTAACTAGTTTACTATTTTCTAATTCTTTGATCAACTGTTTGCTGGCTTCTAATAACAATAGAAGCAATGCAATATTTGTAAATCCTTGGGAACCAGACCTGGACCTCATGTCGTGGGGGCGCCCGTAATGTTGTTTAGGGCACCAGATCCTGCATGATTGCACACCATGGCACTTTGTACTCAGGGTGTTATACAGGTAGAGGGTTGTGGTCAGTCCTTAAGGAACCCAGAGCCTGAAGATCCCTCCAGAAGGTATGCCTACCATGATGGACAAAGACAGGACAAGTAAGAGAGGGTTACCTTGTATCTTTGAATGTTACTAATGTAAGAAAACTGGGAAGGACTGTGTATGAAATGTATTCACTTTTACAGGGCAACATTTTCAAACTTGGTGCTAAAGTTCAACCACTCAGTGCTTACTCTCAGTTAGATGACCAGGTGTTTTATCACACCACAGTTCGTACACTTTAGCACCAATTCCATCTGGAGCCCTTTATAAGGTACTTGGGGCTTCCTACCGCCCTTTTTGTCTTGAAAACTTTGCTACACCTCAATCTGCAATCTGTTGTTGCTTTAAAAACCTTTACAAGTTACCATTTTACAGTTAAACATAATCTCTGGCCCCTTCCGAGCCCTGTAAAAGTTATCGGGCACACGCACTGTGCACCCAATTCGGCGACTCCATCCTGAATTTGGAGTGTGCATCCCCTGGATGGGACGATAGGTTTTGGGAGTCTGTAAAGCATTCGTCCACGTTCCATAACTGTCTCCTTCTACCAGCTGCTACAAACTTGGCCTATCAACTTAAATCCTGATGGGAGGCAAATGTGGGGGAGTTGGAGGATGAAGCCTGGGAAGAGGTGCTAGACTCATGTAAGGCGGTCTCTCCAAAGTTGTCAGACAGCCTTACTCTTTTGTACATACTTTATAGAACATACCTGACTCCTATTCGTTTATCTAGATATCCACTACAATATAGTCCACTTTGTCCTAGGTGTGGGGCTGCCAATGGCACCTTTTACTATCTCCTTTTGGTCCTGCTCTGTTCAGTTGTATTGGGTTCAGGTGGTCACGTTTTTACATGATAAAAAGGGCTTCCCTCTTACCCTATGACCTGAGCAGTGTTTTACTGAGCTTGTTTCCTGTCTTAGAGAGTGATAAATGTCATAGTCCTTTCCTGCCAGAAACTCTTTTTATGGCCAGAATTTTAATTGCCAGAACTTGGCTCCGTGCATCAACGCCAACCATACACAACTGGGTGGCTGCAAGAAATAGTACGTTACCATATAAGAAAGTTATCTGCACACAGAGGATGTCCTGCTAAATATCACAAAATATGGGATAAATGGCTATATTCCACTGCAACCAGTGATGGGGATGATAATGAGGACTTGTGATGCTGTTATCTTCAGATGTTATTTTTTGTTCCCATCTGCCTTAAATAATTTTCATGGTTCAGACCTGCATTAAGCAAACTCTACTCACACTTTGGCGTCACGAGACACCACAATTGTGGTGTCTCGTGACGCCAAAGTGTGAGTAGAGTTGCGTAAGACAGAGCAGATCGGCAAATCAGAAAAGCACTAGATCTGCTTAATGCAAATTAAGATAGTTGGGGAGCCAATGAGCTGCTCTTAAGGAATGCTTTTGCTTGCAGAATCTTGATCTTGGAATTCTACACCTAATCGAGAGAAGGAGGATCTGTTGCTGCATCCACAGAGGAGGGATTCACCATTCCTGTAACCGGACCAGCTTTACTCCCCTCTGGATTGAGGATCCATGAGCTCTAGATGCACACTGCGTTTATGTGTCTTACTTCTGCTGAGTGCGTTTTTCAGCCGTTTCCACACGGATCACCAATTCTGAATCCTCATTTGTCACTGGACACGTTCATATGACCAAGACTTTTAGTGGACTTTTATTTGTCTTATTGTCACTACTTTTAGCGCTGCACTATTTTTATGTTATTTCATTTAAGTTTATATTGGTTGCTTAGAGTGCTCAGCCGCTTTCAGGATTAGCGCTCACTGCTGTTTTTTTCTATACCATTCTCCACAGCTTTACTTATGGAATTTGTCATTGTGCTGTTTTTGATCTCGTATGAGTTATCATACTGCATTGTGTTCTTTTAAAAAAAAATTTGCTTGTTTAATAAAAAAAACGTGATTGGACAGCTGTGAAGCTGGTCATATCACTTATTTTTTAGCCAGTCATTGGCAGAAGAAAACCGTACCAAAATGATGGCTGGGCTGTACCTGCATCCTGCTGGTATAACTACTTCCAGGATGTGTATATATACATACACTGGACAGGAAGTGGTTAAACGTTTGTCTTCGATTTGGCCCCTCACTGCAATTTCTGTCTTTCAAAATGCAGCTAACTGTACTAGAGCAATGAATAACCAACACACAAAGAATAAGAGAGGGTAGAGGTTCATAAATATACTGTATCACCCAATATATGGTTTCTGCCCAGTAACCAAAAAACATGCTTACAAAAGAGGGGGTTGTGAAAAGAGATTCACAAAAAAGTGGTTACATCATGGACAGAATGCGATACTCAGAATAATTCCCAAAAATAATACTTTATTGCACAATAATTATAGACAATAGGGTAAATACCCTGGTTCACCATCACCTCAGTATGAGATAATACAAAAAGACCTAAAATCACATAAAAGCAACATCAAGACCGGTCTTATTCATTAATGTGCTGCATATGTAATGACAGAAACCTGTCTAGTACATTTGCAGTACCAACACATTGGTTACACCACCAGTAGGGGGTGTGTCAAAAAATTGTACCCTCAGGTATAGTGTACTATACAATGCTATGCAATAATGGCTGATAGCAGGCACCATATATTAATAACAAAATTACCCATAACCCAATCAAGGCAATGTGGGTGAAAAATTTAAAATATATGTAGGGATTCGAATGCTCCTATAATAACAGGATGATTGTAATACAGCCTCTATTCAGGGCATGAGTGAGTGGTGAACATGTACAAATTCACAGTGGACATGTCCATATAATTAGATGCAGAGTCAGTCATGAAAGAATCACTGTTGGTACCCTTAATAATATGAAGATGATAAAGATGGCAGGGCCCTGCTTCAAGGTGTTTCTTCGCCGCAACGTGCGGGCTATAGACCACCTTAATATAAATGATAGTATGAAACCTGCTGGCTCCTCCGTCTCTTGTAATGTATAAATGGTGCCTTGCACCTAGATAGTGAATCATATTGTCCCCATCCTGCAATAAATTGATGACAAATGGACAGTCAATCAATATGTATTCTTGCTGATGTATGTATAGAGTGGCGAGTTAACGCCTTTTCGTCTAACTGTGTGACAGTTCACTCTCCACCCGAGCCATAGGTGATACTTTCTGGAAGGTTCCTCTGTCTGGATTACCAGGCATAGTCCCGGGGACAGCTGCCACCATCGGGACTGTAAATGGCGGGCTCCGTTCTCCCTTTGGTGCCTGTGCAGCTTTGCACAACTCGTGGCCCACAAATATGGCCGTTTCCCTGCTGATCAGCGTGTATGGCGCCAATACGTGTGACCGGAAGTGACGTATCTGACGTATGACGTCAACGCGTTTTTACGATTGGCGTATCTCACTTGGCTTCGTCAGGACCAATAAGACATCTGCCTTTCAGCTTCCTATTTATACTGGGCTCAATACCGCCCATAAATGCAAATCCGTTGCTGGCAATCATTCTCAATGGGAAAAAGAGCTAATTACTTAGCAAGACAGATGGTCATATAGTTCAAGTAAAAGAGTAGACACCTGGGCACACCGAGAGGGATGAAACATTTCCTACTTTCTTGTGTCATTAAGAGGGATCAAATGTTTGCCACTAAACTTCCCACAAGGTGGCGCTGCTAGTTTATAATTTTACACAATTAGCTATTTTTCTAAAAATACTCGGAGATCACACTCAATGTTTAACCCTTTTGGAAATAAAGTATCAAGTTTATAGATCCAATATTTATCACGTTTTAATAGTTCTCTATCAAAGTCACCTCTCTTCTGTGGGAAATTTAGTGCATAAATACCTTTCACTTTTGTACCCTCTAATTTACCTCCATGGCATTTAGTATAATGCTGAGCTAAATTGCTTTCGGGGTCATTGGACCTAATATCTCTAAAGTGTTCACCTATTCGCACCTTAAGCTGCCTTTTAGTCTTACCAATATACATTTTTTTACATGGACAGGTCAACATATAGAGTACTCTGGCCGTGGAACAATTTGTAAGACTTTGAATTTTAAAGTGAGCTCTATTATTAGAATCAGAAAAAATGTCTGTGCGATCCACAAATTTACAAATTTGACACTTTCACCATCTATACATCCCTTTTGTACGTGACTTCAGCCATGTTGGTTGAACATGACACTGGACAGGAAGTGGTTAAAGGTTTGTCTTAGATCAGGCCCCCCACTGCAATTTCTGTCTTTCAAAATGCAGCTAACTGTACTAGGGCAATGAATAACCAACACACTCCTATATCCAGGACCATGCTTTAAGTGAACAATTACAAAAATTACCTCCCCCTGCCCTTTTCTTTCTTGTGGATGCCCTAGCACATGTAATGACACAAATGTCCTTAATGTCTCTAATCTCCATTCCAATCAACAGAATATTTTGGCTCAAAGCCTGGACAGTTTAAGCTGCCTGTAAAAGGTGCCTTGGAAGGAGGGCATCTCTTTTTGTAAGGTACTTGATAAATTCATCAAAGATGTTGCAGGAGGTAAGGTTCTGCTCCCATAGCAGAAAATTCAAAATTTCCCCTCCCCAGGAGCCTCTACCTCCTCAAAACGCAGAGCACCTCATGACTACCCAGGGTTCTGCCCTTCCTTTTTCGGCGTAAGACCTGAACCACAAAGCCCAACTAATCCTCCCTAAAGTCCTCTTCCTAATGAAGGAGCACCTTCATTCCTGAGTGGGTTTTTTTGGTTTTTTTTTAAACCACATATATACAACATTTATCCTTATTCCAGTTGTATACAAACAATGTGTTGATCTAATCCTGTTTTTTATCTTTTTGTAATAAAAATGTATTTACATTTTATATGTGTGTATGTTGCCAGAAAAGTCCCATTACTCAAGTGGGGAATATTCTTTGGTTCATACCTCCCTGGATGTTGGCGACTATTCAATGAAACCTGTAGTGGGTTAATTTACTCCAGACATCAACATGGGGCACTATTCTTTCCACTGGTACCAACGATGGAACACTGTTGTTAACATGGACACCAACGATGGGGCACTATTCCTCCCATTGACACCAACGATGGGGCACTATTCCTCCCATTGACACCAACGATGGGGCACTATTCCTCCCATTGACACCAACGATGGGGCACTATTCCTCCCATTGACACCAACGATGGGGCACTATTCCTCCCATTGACACCAATGATGGGGCACTATTATTCCCACTGACACCAATGATGAGGCACTAATAAATCCCCTTATACCAAAGATGAAACATTGTTTACTCCCACTGATGCTGTAACATTTTCTACTCCCACTGATCATGACCCAGCCCCCCTAATGTCTGAGCACAGTAAACTGGCCCTTTGGTTCAAAAGTTTGGAGACCCCTGTTTTATTACATGCCTAAGATGTGCAACTAAAAATATGTGCTTTTTCTTATTTTTGTTTTTTTTGTTTTTAGCTCGAGTCACTTCTTCAGTTATGGCTCACATTGAGCCTGAATTCTAGCTCAAATGGAGGCAAGGAAAGTGGTGGTGAGCTCTTCTTATACAATGCAAACAGAATACCGGTCATCAATTTAAATCAAGGTAACTGGGTAGATTGGATAATTTTTTTCCTGTATCACTTTTGATTATATTTTCTGTTTTACTGGTTGTTTTTTGGTTTGTTCTAATAAAATGGAAGCAGTTGCTATTTTATTAGCCACGCGTGTAAAGACAAATCTAAAACTTTTTAGAAAAATCTATTATTTTTTATTGGGGCCACATTATAGTCATCCCTGAGAAAGGGTCCACGAAACATTGTACAAAGCATTCAGCGAAAAGAATTTGTAAGGGAGTGTAAATTTTATCTGTTGAAGCCTCATTAAAGCCGAACTTTTCCCAAAAGGGGAAGGTCCACTTTTCCACCCCCTCTTCCCCCCCTCTAACACCTTTTGGGACACATTTATTTTATTTTGGGGAGTGGGTATCTAATTGTGACAGGTACCTGCTCCCACTTCCATTCAGAACACCTAAGCGATCTGAGCGGAAATTGGCACCCCCCCCCCCTTTCTCCACAGTTTTTTGTGACAGATCACAGGTCCTTGAAAACTGTGAAACCGTTCACAAAGCGCAGCAGGAAACCAGCTGTGTAGCTGCACGGACTCTGTTTACTTCCCATAGTAAAGATGCCAGTGCTGGGGACCTGAAGACCGGTGAAGAAACTGATCTGGTGAGGGCAATGCTGGATCCCCGGACAGGTGAGTGTCCTTATATTAAAAGCCAGCAGCTACAATATTTATAACTGTTGACTTTTAGTTTTCTTGGGAGGCATGGAAGATCCTTTTTAAGTTGTTAAATTGGCTTCATAAACACCACTTTTGACATGCATGTATTAAAATTTTTACTAATATATATTTTTTATTTCATGTACAACTTCCAGAGCAGATAATGCAACAAAATTATTTTCTGCAATAATTCAAATAAAATATTTATTGTTTTAACCTCCCTGGAGGTATTCCCGAGTGTAGTTCGGGGTAAAGTTTCAGTACCACAAGCGGTAACCCCGAGCTACACTCGGGCTTAACATGCGGCGCTGCTCCGCGATCCCTCGATCACTTACCTTGTCCTGCGCTCCCGCTATGTCCCTCATGCAGTGTCCCCGGCAATGTAATCCGGCGGATGCTGGCATCTGGGTTCTGTCCCCACAACGTCAGGACGTATGGGGACGGAACTGGTGGGAAATTTGAAAATGACAAAAAGTGACATTCACTAAAATCACATAGTATAACATTACTTTATCAAACCATTTCACATACATTTTGTCCCGAGTGCTTTGTCCCGTGCTCTGCCTGCATTTTTACTGTTCTGCCTGGAAACTGAGAAATATCCATGGTGTCCAAAAAGCGTCCCTTTAGGTCAAAATCGGTTTTAGACCAGCTAGAGAACAGCGATAGTAAATTAGAACTACTTGCATTATTGAGTTATGATTCGTGGGGAAATTCGTTATCAGACACTGAAAACGATTTTGCGACTTTGCTCAGTGATGTGCAAACTTGGCGCTATATTTCAAATTTCAGTGTTTTTGGTGTGATTATATTATTGAATTAAATGTATTACCGTATTTTTCGCTCCATAAGACGCACCTGACCATAAGACGCACCAAGGTTTTATAGGCAAAAAACAAGAAAAAAAAAAATTCTGAACCAATGGACTGCAGACATAGTACAGGGGATGACCAGACTGTGGACTGTGGACACAGTGTGGACAGTACAGGGGATGACCAGAGACTGCGGACACAGTACAGGAGATGACCAGAGACTGCGGACATACTACAGGAGATGACCAGAGACTGCGGACATAGTACAGATGACCAGAGACTGCGGACGCAGTACAGGAGATGACCAGAGACTGCGGACATAGTACAGGAGATGACCAGAGACTGCGGACACAGTACAGGGGATGACCAGAGACTGCGGACACAGTACAGGAGATGACCAGAGACTGCGGACGCAGTACAGGAGATGACCAGAGACTGCGGACGCAGTACAGGGATGACCAGAGACTGCGGACGCAGTACAGGAGATGACCAGAGACTGCGGACGCAGTACAGGAGATGACCAGAGACTGCGGACGCAGTACAGGAGATGACCAGAGACTGCGGACGCAGTACAGGAGATGACCAGAGACTGCGGACGCAGTACAGGAGATGACCAGAGACTGCGGACGCAGTACAGGAGATGACCAGAGACTGCGGACGCAGTACAGGAGATGACCAGAGACTGCGGACGCAGTACAGGAGATGACCAGAGACTGCGGACGCAGTACAGGGATGACCAGAGACTGCGGACGCAGTACAGGGGATGACCAGAGACTGCGGACGCAGTACAGGGATGACCAGAGACTGCGGACGCAGTACAGGGATGACCAGAGACTGCGGACGCAGTACAGGGGATGACCAGAGACTGCGGACGCAGTACAGGAGATGACCAGAGACTGCGGACGCAGTACAGGAGATGACCAGAGACTGCGGACGCAGTACAGGGGATGACCAGAGACTGCGGACGCAGTACAGGGGATGACCAGAGACTGCGGACGCAGTACAGGGATGACCAGAGACTGCGGACGCAGTACAGGGGATGACCAGAGACTGCGGACGCAGTACAGGGATGACCAGAGACTGCGGACGCAGTACAGGAGATGACCAGAGACTGCGGACGCAGTACAGGAGATGACCAGAGACTGCGGACGCAGTACAGGAGATGACCAGAGACTGCGGACGCAGTACAGGAGATGACCAGAGACTGCGGACGCAGTACAGGGAAAATACCAGGGACACAGTACAGATGACCAGAGACTGCAGACAGTGCAGGGGATGACCAGAGACTGCTTACCTTTGGGGAGGGAGGGGGAGCGGGTACCTGAATTTGACAGGTACCTGCTCCCACTTCTGCGGATTTGTCTTTCCCTCTTCTTCCCGGGCCGGCTTCTGTGACAGCCGGGTGCCCACTGCGCATGCGCGAGAAGCGCTGCGCTTTGTGAATGGCCCGGCGCCTTCTGGGACCTGTCATGTGTCCCAGAAAACACTGGACCATTCACAAAGCGCAACGCATGCGCAGTGGGCACCCGGCTGTCACAGAAGCCAGCGCGGGAAGACTGTGCAGCGCTGGAGCGAGGAACAGGCAAGGCCCTGCAGGGGAGAACAGCTGAGCGGCCGGCCCGGTATTCTGACATGGTGGCGGCAGAAATACTGGACCGGCCGCTTTACATTCGCTCCATAAGATGCACTGACATCTTCCCCCCCTTTTTGGGGGGAAAAAAGTGTGTCTTATAGAGCGAAAAATACGGTATATTATTTTTTTATGATTATTAAATTATAATTTATGATTTCGTGTTTCAAGTTTTATCTTACCCGGGATGTTTACTAGACTCTTGTTCGGACAGATTTCAGTGAGTTATTCCTTAAAAAATTACAGACCTACAATAAAAAAAATACATATTTCCATGCAAATAAGTACCACTTTGAGCACAGAAATATGGACATAATCAGACCGGTAGGGAGGTTAATTGGAAAAGGGAGACTTGATTTAAACCTTTAAATACATCAAGGGAGTGAATAACTGGAGGAAAGTACAAAGCTAATCTTAAAACGTATTATTTAAGTGAAAACGTAGTTGATTCTTGGAATAAACAACAGAGGTAGTGAGTCAGTCAACAGTAAGTGGTTTTAAACATGCTTGGGACAAACCTAGATATATACTCAAACAAAAGATTTAACCAAAACAAAAGACAAAAACATGTAAATTTAGAAAAAAAAAAACAAAAAACAGAATTCATGGACCTCCTGGTCTTTTTTCTGCTGACACTTTTCTGTGTTTTCTATGTCTCTATAATCTGAAAAGATACATAGAATGTGAAAGCTGAAGTGTCCCGTTATTTTTGTTGGTGGATAAATGCCCTTTACTGTGTTGGTCCGTGGAAGTAATTTCTGTGACAGTGGTGGTCAATGCTGCTGGCTCACCCGTGTGGACATTTTGGCAATAAGCTATGTAGGTACTGTGAGACAGGAGATCCGCTGTTCAAGGAATCCCCTTCCATTTAAGTAATGTTAACATTGTGCGATACTATATAAAATGTATGATGCAGAGACTTTGTCAAGTGCAGTAATCTACTATATTTTGTCATACATTCGTAGTTTTAATTTGATGAGTAGACATTATGTAAACTGCTTTACTTGAATCATGTGTGCTCATTTCCATTCTGGTATAGTGGGATAAGCTTTATTTTTTTGACAAAGAATGACTCCTTGGTTGCTTTTCTTACTAGTTACATTTTTGTGTTCTGTGTCATAAAGAGTCTTTAAGTACTGAAATTGCCTCTCATTGTTTTGAAGATTTTTCTGTTATACATACATATTTCTTTCTTTTCTATTGCTTTTCAGCATCCATTACAAGCTTTTTAACAGTCTTGGCCTGGCATCCAAATACCTTGCTGCGGACATGGTGCCTTGTGCTTCACAGCCTCACTCTAATGACAAACATGCAGCTGAACAGTAAGTAAACTTTTGTGTCTATAAGGCTACTGTCAGGCAAATGATAAATCTCTTTACATAAAACTGGTCATAGATGGGTAGAATTTTGAACAAAAATTATTTGCAAAAGTCGTACGAAAAATCTTAGAACACTAATTTGTTTTTTTAAAGATTGTTTTATTTTAACATTTGATTTTGGGATGAATGGACTTTACCAAAAGAAAAGCACATACATCGTTAGAGATTTGTTCATTCGAGAAAAATTTCCATCCTGCTCCTTTGAACTTTCCCATTATTGCGGTCAAAAGCGAACGAAAAACAAGCAAACTTTCTTAAACCTAAGCATTCTCATTGGAGCTGGTACACATCTATAGTGAGCTTTAGCCTGCACACACTGTTAATGAAAACAGTGCTCCACACTCTGTAGTATTAGTATTTATTTTAAGCACTTTTGAGTCTTGCTTTCTCCTTAAAGCGGTATTAAACACAAAAGTGAATATTCATTATTGAAGCTTACCAATTCTTAGATGTGATGGCTGTATAAATTTCATTTTTTAGGCTTTCTTCCTTCTGTTTTCTTCTGGTGATTCAGCCGGTGATTCAGCTAGTGACTCTGTTTTGCAAAAGTTCAAACTCTCCAGCAAAATGTATCAGTTTACATGGGTGAAACGATTTACCACTGGCAGAGTTGATTAAAATGATCAGCTTTTATTTATTCATGTACATTCTTTATCCCAAAAGTAAAAGAAAAACTGTTTGCTGTAACTGATTATAAAGCGTGAGCTGGAGTTTGACTTCAATTTGTCATTTGTATGCAAATCTGCAAATGTTTATTATCGGTATCCCAGCCCCCGTCCAACCGCAAGACTGACAAAGGTGATGTTTGCTGTGTCTTGGCTCATTTCTCCAAAATGGTATTTCACTAGTACAGGAGATGAGTTACTGGCCATATCACCAGGTGAAGAGGGAAAAAGGGCAAAGAAATACAGCCACCACATCTAATGCTTGGTAAGCTGCAATATAATAATGCTACCGTGTAATACCGGGTTTAATACCTCTTTATATGTTCTTTCATACATTATCTGTTACTTGGCCAAATAATTATATTTTTCTATAAAGTTGCCTAAACTGAAAAAGGTGAAAATTGACTAAAGAAACTAGTTTCTTAAGCAAAAAAGAAAAAAGTGTTACCAGCTTTAGTAACCGTAGGCTTGCTCATCAAGCATGTTGACAGATAAGTGCTGAAGTGGCCGAGTAGAAAAAAAATATATTAAATTATATAAAGAAAAATACACTTTCTTTAGACACTGTATCCTTATATACTGTATATGTAATCATTACAAATTGCCAGACATAAAAGGTAATAGGAATTTGTTAAAACAGTATTATGTGAGGAGTTCCTGAAGTTTGCAATTCATTCACTTGATGTGCACCTAAGGCCTCCTTAACACCTTTGTTTTGCAGTAACACACTGTTAGTGAGTTGTGGTGGCAGAAGCAGTGCAACGCAGCACATAGTAACACATTGCAGCATATTGTGGTGCTTTGCAGCAGTGGAGACGATTAGGTCCAGTTTTCAGAGTGCTGAGTTGCAGTAGCAGCCCATTCAAAAGGATTTGACTGCCTTAACGCAGTGTGCACTAGAGCACCATAAAGGTGTGAAGAGGGCCCTTAAAGCGGTATTAAACCCAAAAGCAAACATTATTCTATTGCAGCTTACCAGTTCTTAGATGTGGTGACTGCATTAATTTTTTTTTTTTTTTTTTTAGTCTTTCCTTTCATTTCAGCTGGTTATCCAGCCAGTAAGTGTGGTGTTTTTTCAACAGAACAAGCTGTCCTGCAAATGTAGCAGTTAAAAGGGTTGATACAAACCATTTACCACTCACAGGGCTGCTTACAATGATCGGCTTTCATTTGTTTATTCATATAAAACTTTTATCCAAAAAGGAAAAAACACTCTTGCTGTATCTGCAGTGTGAGCTGAACTTTTCCTTCAGTTTGTTAGTGTATCTAAATCTAGTATATTTAACATTCCCCAAGACTGTCAGTGCTGCTGTCCAAAGGTGCCCCTATGTTCCTTCATTCAGAGTGGAGACACTCTAATACAGGAGGTGTGTTACTGGGAAGATGACCAGATGAAAGAAGGGGGGAAAATAACTGAGCCTAAAAAAGAAAATGAATGCAGTCACCACATCTAAGGATTGGTAAGCTGCAATATATTACATTTTTGGGTTAAGTATTCACATGTTCTTACCAAGCAGTTAAACAGCTTTAAAACCCTCACTGACCTTTGTAGCTGCAGACAATGCAGAGTAATTTGTAATTTTTTTTTTTTTCCTTGAGGGACCCAGGACGTTTTTAACATTTGGGTTGTACTACTGCCAACAAAAGAATTGCATGATGGGAAAAAACTGTAGACCAGTCCAGGATAACCCCTTCTACTGTCAGCATGCCATCGTTTTTGACACTTTCTTCAACTCTAGTGTGCTAAAGGTTAAAGTGATACTTAAAGTGATACTAAACCCAGGACCCTGCATTCACTATATCTGGTCTCCCAAACTACACACAACATGGAAATGCAATTATTTTTTAGTAAATATAAACTGCTAAATACCTTTTCTCATCAGCAGTTAGAGCAGTCTTGTGACTTCAGCAGAGCACTGGTTAAAGCTTGTAGGAGGAGTTTTCTTTCTGCTGTAGGAGGATGTGAAACCCCTGACCCTCTGTCTGGACAGTGTTGATTGGCCATGTGCTGATCACATGTACCTTCCCAAGAAACAAAAAAACTAGCAATACACACCAAACTGAGCATGTGCATGTGACTATGGATTCAGCCTGTATCAGGTGGACATTTCAACAAGAAAAGGGGCAGACAAAGGATCAAACAGCCCTTTTACACAATGCAGAGGAATAACTCCTTTAGATTGCACAGTGAGTATAACCAGCATGCTTTACTGCATATACAGACTGATTTTACTGTTGTGGGTTTAATAATACAAGTTTCAGCTTTAGAAAAAAAAATATTGTCGTACTTGCCTGCGCTGTGTAATGGTTTTACACAGAGCAGCCCCGATCCTCCGCTTCTCTTCTCCAATGTTGGACTGAGCATTTTAGTCATCTCTAGCTGACCCTCACCTGCTACCAGCTGCCTAGGTTCCTGAGTATGAGAGTCCTTGTCTCTTACCCTGGGCCTATACATTTCATTACTGCCACACAGTTGCATTCAAGAACATGAGGCAGACAGCCCCAATGTATCAGGTTCCCAGCTCACATCTAAAGTGTTACTAAACCCACAACAGTAAAATCAGTCTATATATGCAGTAAAGCATGCTTGTTATACTCACTTGAACCTAAGGAGTTAATCCTCTGCATTGTGTAAAAAGGATGTTTGACCCTCTCTTCTCTGATCCTGCCCTTCTTCTGATGTCCCCAATATATCTCCTGATAGAACAGAGGGTTGGAGTCAATCTGCACATGCTCAGTTTGGTGTGTATTGCTAGAGAGGTTTTTTTTCTTGCTTGGGAGAGTGCATGTGATCAGCACTGTCCAGAGGGTCAGGGGTCCTGCATCCTTATAAGGAAGAATGAAAACTCCTCCTACAAGCTTTAACCAGTGCTCTGGAAATCACAAGACTGCTCTAACTGCTGATGAGAAAAGGGATTTAGCAGTTGATATTTACTAAAATAATTGCATTTCCATGTGTGTACTGTGGGAGACCAGATATAGTGAATGCAGGGTCCTGGGTTTAGTAACACTTTATCTAATGGTTCGGGGACATCTTGTAGTATGGCTACTGATGGTGGTGATGTTTGGAGCCAGGGATCATTTTGATCTCTACTCCTAGAATCCATGCTGTCATGAAGTCCTCATTGACTCCATTGTGTGTAGGTGTAACAGATTGGATAGTTTTGTCTTTGTCAAGTACAGGGATCCTCTAGTGGAAAGAGTGCATGCTGTAGTGGCTCCATGGGATCAGTACACCCTGCTCTGTTCCTTTTCTTCCTTGAAACGTCTTCCTTGTCTGCTGCATAGGATCAAGATGCAGGGCATTTTGATTTCTGTATAGCTCCAGAGTAACACGGTATGCTGGTGTGGGAAGACTGGGTGTATTCTCCATGTGCTCAGAACGACAGGATCTTTTTTTTCCCAAGGACTGGTTTACTGTCCTGCTTCACTGCCACTAGCTTTTATGTAATGGTTATTTGAAGTCCGGGTTTTTAAAGACGTGGACAACTTTGCATCTGTGATGTCTCTGCAATTCCATCTTAGGATTTTCTCCATTGAATGAATCCTCTCCTTCCTGAAGCTGGGTATAGACCAGCATTTGGCTCTTGGCACTAATAACGGTCAGGTTTCTGCCCTTTCTATCTTTTTTTCAGAAACGTTTGTCTCTTACTGCTTGCTTAAGACACCTTTTTTCCTGGGAGTCTTCCATTTTTCTCCCCATATTCTCTTTCACTGTGACTCCTTGGGATCTGAAGCTGTTTCTGTCTTTGCTTCAGAAACTTCTGTTTTAACCCATTAGAGACATGGGTAGCTCAGAAAAACAGTCATATAAGCTTAATGTCTTAAGCATTGGGTTCCACCCGTTGCTTTCAAGGCATACTATACTAGATTTCTGAATTTCTTGGAGTTTTCAGCTTTAAGCGACAGATTGCAAGACATTAACCTGTTCTTTCATTCACATTCTCTAACTTGCACCAGGTGAATGTTTGAGCCTCATCTGATCCTATCTCATTGAGCTGCAGGCAGCCCCAGTTCTTTTGTTATTTTTGGACATTTTAGCATTGTTTTCTGTGACACCCATCCAACAGGTGGACTGCTTTTGGACGCCCTGAAGGTAAAACTTGTTGTATCCTTCAATAAAAGAGAAATAGAATAGTTTTTTGTACTTATTCTTGGAGTTCCTTGATTGACACAGGAAGTCTTAATACTGTCGGCTACAAGACAATTGGTCACTGGCAAATGAAGGGTAGGCCAGTAAAGCATAAGCTCTCCTACTTCCATGCCTCATCTTTATGAAAAAGTAGTACCGAGAACATAATCATAAACAGGCAGGTATGGGATCTGCACCAGCCTGACAGACTGGCATTCAGTGCAAGGGTCTTCCAAAAAGACAGGAACAATGGACTTTCCCACTCTAGAGCCACTAAACCAGAGAAAGCCTGGTCTTTCCAAGGACTTGACTGAATTGTCTCAATAGAATTTTGTGTTGTAGGGGTCTGGGGGGATAACTGGGCAAATGGGACTACAATTAGTGAAGAGTAGGGTGACTCCTGGACTGAAGACTAACAGGTGGACTCGATCAGTCTGTCTGTGTGAAAGGGCCTAAGTTCCAATGCTGATTTCTTAAGGTTTGGAATCCAAACATTTGCAAGTTTTGAATGGTACGGGATATTTTGTCCATTAGAAACTGCATGAACTTTTCTGTCAGCAGGAGGATATATAGATATCCCACAGCGAAGATCCCATCTCTTGCAATAAGGCAGTTTTGGGGCCACCACCTTAGTGAACACCAAAAGTACAAAAGATGGGCCAAATGGCAAGGTCACAAACTAGAGTAGAGGATCCATAGCCAAGCGTAGGATTTTGTGGTGCCCTGGAAAAATGAGGAGATACAGGAACACATCTTTGATGTTCAAAGAGCCAGAACATCTCCCTGATGGAGGGAAACTGACAGATGTGGTGGATTCCATGTGGAACTTTTGGGTGAGAGCGAAGACATTTTTAGGGCCTTGAGAGTCAGGGTTGGGCAGAGGCTCCCTTTAGCTTGGGGACTGTGAAATAGAACCCCGGAAACCATTTTTCCACAAGGACTGGAGCAATGACACCCTTTTTCAGAAGACATGATCATAAATGCATTATGATCTGCTAATTTGTGCAGTGACATGGGCAGGTTGAATGTGATGAACAAAGGACGGGGCTGGAAGCAAAGCTCTAGCTTTGTACCCTCTGGAAACCACCTCCCACACCCAGGTATTTGAGATGCAGGCTTTTCAAGTGTCTGAAAAGCTTACAGACTTACCCCACTTTGGAAAGTGGAATTGAACCCTCATGCTGAAGATTTGTTTTTAGGCTTTACAGCTTAGAATGCTAAGGTTTATGGGTAGACTGGTGCCATACTTAGTTCTAGACATAGAGCTTGAGGTTGTAGACGAACCAAGGACTTTTCTTGACCTCCAGCAAAGGGGTTAGTCTTTCAAGACTGAGCTTTGGGCCTCTGCCTGTGGAAAATGAGTACCCTTACCAACGATGACATCCTTGATGAGGGTATCTAGGACAGCATTAAACTGGTGCTTTCCCTTTAAGGCCATGAAGAGATTTTTAGATGCATGCTTGGCAGTCCATTTTAGTCAAAGAATTGTCCTCCGATTCACCGATAGGAAATGGGAATGAGTTGGGAGACTTCCAACAATTGATGTACGCTGTAGGTCAGAGCTGGAGCATGAGTTCCATACTCTTTATGAAGAAGAGATCATCCAGTACGGGATGCAGTTGTGATCAGATGCCTTATTTAACCAAGTCAGGGTATAACTGATCAAGGTCATGGCTGAGGCAGGTTGCAGCGCAGAACCTGCCAGGGAGAAAAGAACTCTAAAAAGGGCATCCTATTGTCAGTGAGATCCTTAGACAAGTGCATCTTCCACTGCAATCCACAGATGGGGCAGTACTTTTTCTGCTTTTGAATGCTCTCCGCTTAGAGCAGAGGAGTTGGCTACGCTCAACAGAGCTAGGAAAGACTTCAAAGATGGCATAGACTGTAGCGGAGAACAAGATTCCAGGATGGTAGCATGGGAGCCGCTAATGGAGTTGAGCGAGCAGCACTTGTTACAGCAGGGCACCCTGCCAACCTCCACCATTTCTTAGAATTAGACATGTTGCACTGCATGGTGGAAGAGCAGTGTGGCTTTAGGTATGAGGTTGGACCTTAGCTACTCGTCAACCCAGCTGCTTGGCTGCAAGTGTAGTGTCAAGCGCTTGAAGGAACTAAGCCAGTGCACAGTAGTATTGAAATGGACTCGGGATTGGAGATTCATGTGCAAGCAGGGGCAGCAGCGGGAAGGTGCCTCAATGCTGACTGTCAGGAAAGAGAGTATGAAACTTCACTCCACACAGTGGATGTCAACGTTCAGTCCCTCATCATTGACATTTTCCATGGTGAAACCAACAGAAAACAGTCAGTGATCAGTGGCCCTATAATGAAGGAAGCTACCACTGCTCAGACTGAATAGCCTACTCACTAAGTAACTCTTCAGAGACAGGGCAGATACTAAGGCAGTGCCACAGCTCTGAACCATGAAAAGGCTCTGCGGCTAACATTTACCTCTACTTAAGGTCTGCCACAAGTAGAACCCAGTTGAAGGACACATTCCAGGCTGGTCCCATGACGTCCAGTCTAGTGAGCTCCAAGTTCAGCACTCCAAAGTAAGGCTTGTAAATCCTCCTGTATATACCTGAGAGTGTATTACTTCCTGTGGCTTTCAATGGATGAGGAAAAAAAATCTTGGGAGATCACAACAGAGACTCTAAAGTCCTGTTTTGTTCACTGTTTTTATAGTGTACTGCATTTGTGGTTTACATTAGAGGTTTGGCAAACTGCCAAATCCATACTGCCATGGAAAATAAGGGGGGTGAGAAGCTGTCATTTCTGTGCTCCTATTGTGCCTTTGCAGCTACAGAAGTCAGTTAAGCCCCATTCACATCTAGCATTTTACAAAACAAGCATTTTTGCACTTTTTTTTGCATGTCATGCATAGGGCAGCCCATTCATTTCAATGCCTGCCCTATGTGAAACAAATGCAGCAAAGTGGCTCATGAAGCCTTTTGTCACATTCAGTTTTACTAATTTTTTTAAGCACATGTTCTTGTGTGTGACAAAACACGTGTCTGCCTCATTTTGTTTGCCATTAATAATGATTAGTACCGCAAATGTGACACACAGTGTGTTTTGTAAATGAGCGCAAACCTGCAGTTTTGTGCACATTTACAAAATGTGGAGGTGTGAATGGAACCTAATGAATTGTTTGGAAGCTTTTTTCTACTTGTTAAAGTGGAGCTCCTCCCAAAAGGGGAAGTTCCACTTTAAGGCTTTGTCCCCACTCCCCGTTAAGGATTGGCACCTTTGGGGAGCGAGTACCCGATTTTGACAGGTACCCGCTCTCACTTCCACTGCGATCACCTAGGCAATCGGAAGCAAAATTTGTCCTTCCTCCCCGGACATATGACAGGTCCCAGACGAATACTAGACCATTCAGAAAGCAGACGCATGCGCACGGGGCACCCGGCTGTGGAAGCGCAAGCTGCTACAGCCGGATGCCCACAATGAAGATGCTGGGGAGAGAGGACACCTGGTGAAACCACTGTGGTGAGCACTGTGTGGGATCGAGGGACAGGTGAGTGTCAGTTGCTACAGTTTTTGTAGCTATTGGCTTTTTTTTTAATATACTGTGACTAAAGCTTCACTTTAAGAGTATGCAATTACCTTTCTGTTCAGTGTCTGGGAGCATATGCATTTTAATAACCACTTGCATATCCTGTCATGTACTATTGTATCTAACCCAAGATTCACTATTTTAATCTGTTAAATATTTGTTTATATACCCAGCCTTTCTTGTCTCAGTTAATTTCTAATGAGTATTTTAACATATTCTCTATTATTACCTGATTTCCAAAAGTTTGTTGCATTTCTACAGTAACTCGGTGGTCTTAAAATAGATGTTTGTTTATTAATCAATGTGTTCGTCTGTGCATTAGCTGGACCCAGCAGCACTATTGGAGCTCAGGAAAATACTGCCCAGTTACTGGTATCGGATCCAAATCTCCTTCATGTCCTTGTGAAATTCCTCTCAGGAACAAACCCTCATGGGACCAACCAGCACAGTCCCCAGGTGAGATTTAGGCTAGGTTCATATCTATATGTTTTTAGTTTGTTTGCAGATCTGCATAAACACACTACAGTCCATTTAACTGCATTACCTATGGGTCATGTTCACATCTATGCAGTGCATATGATGCAATGCGTTTTTTGAAAAGGTGCAGAGACTTTTTTTTTTTTTTTTGTATGCTGCACGGTGTTTCTGGCTCCATAGACTTCAATGGAATCGTGTCAAACAAGCATATACAGTACATATGATTTTGATGCATTTTTGTTGTGTTTTCCTGCATGACAACAGACGCCTCCTTCTAGCAGCATCAACACATAGCTTGCCATTGGCCAGAACAAAAAATTCATTAAAAACGCATGAATGCATATGGAAAAACACAACGCGCCGGAAAGCTCACCACAAAAACGCATCAATCGCACATGCATAAATGTGAACCTAGCCTTATAGTGTACTTTAGCTTCCGTAATGCTGTTTTATGTTTATATTCTTAATTATAACTGCCTTTTTCATAAATACATTTTCATTTTTTTCTTACTTTTTTGCTGCTGATATTTACTTGGAGGGTGGATGTGAAAGATTGACAACAGTAAGGCATAGTTGGGAGACAGTTGTCACCCTAAGGGCTCATGTACACTGCAGCTGCTAAACTCACGTTTAGGAGCTGTTCAGCGGTTTTTTTCAGGAGCCCCTGAACTCAGCCTAATGTGTCCATGTACACATCTTCGTTTATAGGCAGTTGAGTTTACAGTCGTTTTTTTTTTTTTTTTTTTAACGCAACAAACTTGCATTCAGACGCTGATTTTATCAGCGTTTCAAATGCAAAATAAATATAAGTGTTTGCGTATGAATTTTTTTTTTTTTTTTCACTCTTCCATTTCCCACTGCTATCTAGAGCCTTTTTTCATGAAAAATGCATGCAAAGAGTTTTCAGGGTGCTCAGATGGACAAAACACTTAACACAGGATGTTCCTACCAAGCTTGTTACACATTGTAATGACCAATTCACACCTCAGACCTCTCCCACCCTTGGAAACAAAAGCTATGTTAAAGCACATTCACACCTCAAATTCCTCATGGAGACCCCCTGCCAGGTGACCTTAATGACTCACTGCAGCAGACACCTTCCCACCCTTGGAAACAAAAGAAATGTTAATGAGCAACTCACACCTAATTATCTCAACACACCTCTGTCTCTGCTACTACTATGTATTTCTCTGAAACAGTCTGAAATAGTTAATAATGTACCACTTTTCAGTGCATTCTGGGCATTCGGGAGGTTCTCCTGTGCTTCTCTTTAAAAAACGCTTCTAAACGCAAATGCACATAAACACGTTAAGCAAACGCGGCTAAACACGTTTTTTAACCTACGTTTTCCAGCAGTCAGTTTCCATCGTTCAGAAACGTCCCGTGTACATGGGGCCTAAAGCAGAAAATGTCTGAATAATGGCAGATTGCCAGGTATAATTTTAACAAGATGGTTTATTTAAGAAATTGATAACACTTTTGAAATTACGTTATGGTAAAGCTTATATAAGGTTTTTGTGATTTGGTTGTAAAGTTTTAGCAATAATTTCCTATTATCCTATCCCTTATAAGACCATAGTAATTGCAGCGTGTTTTTTTCCTAAATAACATTGCTTAATAACTCTTTAAACCAGCAGCTCTGTGCCGTCACATGATCTTCTTTCCTCTAATTCCTGAGCACAGTGAATCCAGTGGGAGGGGCTGATAATACTCACTTTGTATGTAATGCACTCAGTCATTCAAAACAGGAAGAAAGGGATTGAGAGCAGAGCTGAGCCTAGCATATTTACACAGACTACAGAAATGACAGGAAGGGATGGGAAGATGCAGGCACTGCAGAGAGCCAGATAAAGGAGGGCCGTATACTGACCACGCTATCATAGATCAGTAGTCATGTTTAGCGTAGTCAGTTTACAGACAGGACCATGGGAACAGGCAGGATCAACCAGGTATTTACACCGTCGAAAGGACTACATAACTTTGCAAGCTCACTATGAGGTCTATCCTGCCTTACAGAGACAGGAATATGTTGTATTTTAAGGTTTACAAACACTTTAAGAAGGGACTTAGTTGATGGCTGTCTGCTGCTAAGACCCTGTGATCAACTACTTCCCAACTCTTGATGCTGTAAACTTGCCTGCACCTTGTTGAAAGTAACTTGCACTTGCTACTCCCATCGTGTGATCCATAAACCAAACTTTAAACTAATATTGTTGTTTTTCAAATACTTAAAAACATTTACACATCTTAATGACTGCATTGAAGAATGTAAACAATTAAAACTAAAGATACTCCTATTTTTTCTTTCCTGGTTTGAAAATTGGCTAGAATAAATTGTGATATTAACCCGTAGGCTATGTTGCTGTATCATTTTGAAATAATTTGTGTAAATGTTTGTTAGGGTTTAGTAGTTTTGGTTTGCTTAATGTGATGGTGAGAGCATGCTGTCCTTGAGATGCAAAAATACATAAGACCTATGTATGCTTGTACTGTAGTAGTAAATAAAGCACTTTTTCTCTTGCAGGTTGGACCTACAGCTACTCAGGCAATGCAGGAGTTCCTGACACGATTACAAGTTCACCTCTCAGCTACCAGCCCTCAGATGTTCAGTGAATTTTTGTTAAAGCTCATACACATACTTTCAACAGAAAGGTAATCATCATTTCTAAGTGAAATTAGATTTTATTTTAGGATTCTGGTCTTCTATACTTTTTTCTAGAATATACAAATCATTTTTATTTTTTTCCTCTTGTAGAGGTGCTTTTCAGAGTGGACAAGGACCACTGGATGCTCAGGTGAAACTCCTTGAATTCACTTTGGAACAGAATTTTGAAGTGGTCTCTGTTAGCACCATCTCAGCAGTCATTGAATCGGTTACCTTTCTTGTTCATCACTACATCACCTGTTCTGACAAAGTTGTGTCCCGGAGTGGATCTGACAGCTCTGTTGGGGCCAGGGCTTGTTTTGGAGGCCTTTTTGCAAATATCATTAGACCTGGTGATGCCAAAGCAGTTTGTGGAGAAATGACACGTGATCAGCTGATGTTTGACTTGTTAAAACTGGTTAATATCTTAGTTCAGCTGCCACTATCAAGCAACAAAGAGTTCAGTGCTCGTGCACCTGTCATGAACAGCACAACAGACAGCGTTTCTGATGAGGAAAAAGTCTATGGAGGAAAAGACTCAAGCAGTAACTCTTCTACTACACAAAGCAGTACCACATATGTGGCAGATTTGGTGCTAGCCAACCAGCAAATCATGAGCCAGATCCTCTCAGCCCTTGGCCAGTGTAACAGCAGCGCAATGGCCATGATTATTGGTATGTGTAGCTGTTTGCTTCTTGCACTTTTGTAGTAACTTATTGAGGTCCTCAGTGTTTCAGCGTTTTGCTTTTCAAAAGAATACTCATTGCGACACAGTAATTTCTATGAACTAGGAATATGATAAAGTATTCAAATCTTCCCTAATGTTTTAATGTTTTGAAGGCATAGGCTTTACAAGTGTTTTACTTGTGTGCTATAGCATTGTTCATTTAGAGCAGGGTTCTCCAAACTTTCTAAACAAAGGGCCAGTTTACTGTCCTTCAGACTTCATGGGCGGGCGACACTTTTGCCAGTGGGAGTAGAAATTGCCCCAGTGTTAGTGGGAATAAAAAAAATACATAGCACATGTGGTAAGTAGGGCAAATAATGGCCTAATATTGTTAGTGGTAAGAATAGTGCCCCATCATTGAAGTCAGCGGGTACGATAGTGCTCTATTATTGCTGTTAGTGGAAGGAAGAATGCCCCATCCATGGTATCAGTGGGAGGAATAGTGATTCATCATTAATGTCAGTGGGAGGAATTACGCCACTTTTTTGGTGTCAGTGGAAGGAAAGGTACCTCGTTGGTGTCTTTGGGAAGAATAGTTCCCCAAGGGCTGGAAAAGAGACAAAGGACCACATCCCGCCCACAGGCTGCAGTTTGGAGACCACTGATTTAGAGGCTTATGAATAATTTATTCTGTAAAAATGGCTTAAAACTTATGCAGGAGAGCCACATTTGGCTCCCCCTCCCTTGGACAGTTCTCAATACCTGCCTTAAACTATAGCTTTGATGCCAAGCAGAATATACTCAGTCCCTGTCTTTTTATACTTGTCTTATCGCCAAAATATTGTTACATTTCAACTCCAACCAAAACTTTTTATATAAATAGAGCTGTGAAGGTTTAGAACAGGGGTCCTCAAACTACGGCCCGCGGGCCGCATGCGGCCCGCCGAGGCCATTTATCCGGCCCGCCGGCAGGGGTGGGACAGGAAGGGACACTAAGTACAGTGGCGGGCAGGGGGCTGCTGTACCTTACCTGGCTCCGGTCCCAGTCCCACGACGATCCAGTCAAGGAAGCGCTGCTCCTTCATTCACTCCGACCACTCCCTCACTCCTGCCGCTCGGCTCCGCCTCCTCACCGGTGATTGGGCACCAGAACTGTAGCTCAGGAAAGGCACACAGGCGGCCAATCACCTGCGAGGAGGCGGAGCGGCCCCGCGAACATCGAGTGAGAGAGAGGCCGGAGTGAAGGACAGTTGACAGGTAAGTGTGCCGTGCGGATGGTGCTGCTGCAACCAGGTATGCTGCCTGCAGTAGCACCTAGGCTGGAGCAGGGGTCAGCAAGTAATGTGTCATTGGTGTCAGTGGGAGGAATAGTGCCCCATCATTGGTGTCACTGATACTAATGATGGGGCATTATTCCTCCCACTGACACCAACGATGGAACACTATTCCTTCCCCCGCTGACACCAACGATGGAACACTATTCCTTCCCCCGCTGACGCCAACGATGGAACACTATTCCTTCCCCCGCTGACGCCAACGATGGAACACTATTCCTTCCCCCGCTGACGCCAACGATGGAACACTATTCCTTCCCCCGCTGACGCCAACGATGGAACACTATTCCTTCCCCCGCTGACGCCAACGATGGAACACTATTCCTTCCCCCGCTGACGCCAACGATGGAACACTATTCCTTCCCCCCTGACTGCCAACGATGGAACACTATTCCTTCCCCCCTGCTGACGCCAACGATGGAACACTATTCCTTCCCCCGCTGACGCCAACGATGGAACACTATTCCTTCCCCCGCTGACGCCAACGATGGAACACTATTCCTTCCCCCGCTGACGCCAACGATGGAACACTATTCCTTCCCCCGCTGACGCCAACGATGGGACACTATTCCTTCCCCCGCTGACGCCAACGATGGGACACTATTCCTTCCCCCCGCTGACGCCAACGATGGGACACTATTCCCTCCCCCGCTGACGCCAACGATGGGACACTATTCCCTCCTCCGCTGACGCCAACGATGGGACACTATTCCCTCCCCCGCTGACGCCAACGATGGGACACTATTCCCTCCCCCGCTGACGCCAACGATGGGACACTATTCCCTCCCCCGCTGACGCCAACGATGGGACACTATTCCCTCCCCCGCTGACGCCAACGATGGGACACTATTCCCTCCCCCGCTGACGCCAACGATGGGACACTATTCCTTCCCCCGCTGACGCCAACGATGGGACACTATTCCTTCCCCCGCTGACGCCAACGATGGGACACTATTCCTTCCCCCCCGCTGACGCCAACGATGGGACACTATTCCTTCCCCCGCTGACGCCAACGATGGGACACTATTCCTTCCCCCGCTGACGCCAACGATGGGACACTATTCCTTCCCCCGCTGACGCCAACGATGGGGCACTATTCCTTCCCCCGCTGACGCCAACGATGGGGCACTATTCCTTCCCCCCCGCTGACGCCAACGATGGGGCACTATTCCTTCCCCCGCTGACGCCAACGATGGGGCACTATTCCTTCCCCCGCTGACGCCAACGATGGGGCACTATTCCTTCCCCCGCTGACGCCGACGATGGGGCACTATTCCTTCCCCCGCTGACGCCGACGATGGGGCACTATTCCTTCCCCCGCTGACGCCGACGATGGGGCACTATTCCTTCCCCCGCTGACGCCGACGATGGGGCACTATTCCTTCCCCCGCTGACGCCGACGATGGGGCACTATTCCTTCCCCCGCTGACGCCGACGATGGGGCACTATTCCTTCCCCCGCTGACGCCGACGATGGGGCACTATTCCTTCCCCCGCCGACGATGGGGCACTATTCCTTCCCCCGCCGACGATGGGGCACTATTCCTTCCCCCGCCGACGATGGGGCACTATTCCTTCCCCCGCCGACGATGGGGCACTATTCCTTCCCCCGCCGACGATGGGGCACTATTCCTTCCCCCGCCGACGATGGGGCACTATTCCTTCCCCCGCCGACGATGGGGCACTATTCCTTCCCCCGCCGACGATGGGGCACTATTCCTTCCCCCGCCGACCTTCCCCCGCCGACGATGGGGCACTATTCCTTCCCCCCCGCTGACGCCGACGATGGGGCACTATTCCTTCCCCCGCCGACGATGGGGCACTATTCCTTCCCCCGCTGACGCCGACGATGGGGCACTATTCCTTCCCCCGCTGACGCCGACGATGGGGCACTATTCCTTCCCCCGCTGACGCCGACGATGGGGCACTATTCCTTCCCCCGCTGACGCCGACGATGGGGCACTATTCCTTCCCCCGCTGACGCCGACGATGGGGCACTATTCCTTCCCCCGCTGACGCCGACGATGGGGCACTATTCCTTCCCCCGCTGACGCCGACGATGGGGCACTATTCCTTCCCCCGCTGACGCCGACGATGGGGCACTATTCCTTCCCCCGCTGACGCCGACGATGGGGCACTATTCCTTCCCCCGCTGACGCCGACGATGGGGCACTATTCCTTCCCCCGCTGACGCCGACGATGGGGCACTATTCCTTCCCCCGCTGACGCCGACGATGGGGCACTATTCCTTCCCCCGCTGACGCCGACGATGGGGCACTATTCCTTCCCCCGCTGACGCCGACGATGGGGCACTATTCCTTCCCCCGCTGACGCCGACGATGGGGCACTATTCCTTCCCCCGCTGACGCCGACGCACTATTCCTTCCCCCGCTGACGGGACGATGGGGCACTATTCCTTCCCCCGCTGACGCCGACGATGGGGCACTATTCCTTCCCCCGCTGACGCCGACGATGGGGCACTATTCCTTCCCCCGCTGACGCCGACGATGGGGCACTATTCCTTCCCCCGCTGACGCCGACGATGGGGCACTATTCCTTCCCCCGCTGACGCCGACGATGGGGCACTATTCCTTCCCCCGCTGACGCCGACGATGGGGCACTATTCCTTCCCCCGCTGACGCCGACGATGGGGCACTATTCCTTCCCCCGCTGACGCCGACGATGGGGCACTATTCCTTCCCCCGCTGACGCCGACGATGGGGCACTATTCCTTCCCCCGCTGACGCCGACGATGGGGCACTATTCCTTCCCCCGCTGACGCCGACGATGGGGCACTATTCCTTCCCCCGCTGACGCCGACGATGGGGCACTATTCCTTCCCCCGCTGACGCCGACGATGGGGCACTATTCCTTCCCCCGCTGACGCCGACGATGGGGCACTATTCCTTCCCCCGCTGACGCCGACGATGGGGCACTATTCCTTCCCCCGCTGACGCGACGATGGGGCACTATTCCTTCCCCCGCTGACGCCGACGATGGGGCACTATTCCTTCCCCCGCTGACGCCGACGATGGGGCACTATTCCTTCCCCCGCTGACGCCGACGATGGGGCACTATTCCTTCCCCCCCCCCGCTGACGCCGACGATGGGGCACTATTCCTTCCCCCGCTGACGCCGACGATGGGGCACTATTCCTTCCCCCGCTGACGCCGACGATGGGGCACTATTCCTTCCCCCGCTGACGCCGACGATGGGGCACTATTCCTTCCCCCGCTGACGCCGACGATGGGGCACTATTCCTTCCCCCGCTGACGCCGACGATGGGGCACTATTCCTTCCCCCGCTGACGCCGACGATGGGGCACTATTCCTTCCCCCGCTGACGCCCGACGATGGGGCACTATTCCTTCCCCCGCTGACGCCGACGATGGGGCACTATTCCTTCCCCCGCTGACGCCGACGATGGGGCACTATTCCTTCCCCCGCTGACGCCGACGATGGGGCACTATTCCTTCCCCCGCTGACGCCGACGATGGGGCACTATTCCTTCCCCCGCTGACGCTGACGCCGACGATGGGGCACTATTCCTTCCCCCGCTGACGCCGACGATGGGGCACTATTCCTTCCCCCGTGACGCGATGGGGCACTACGATGGGGGGCACTATTCCTTCCCCCGCTGACGCCGACGATGGGGCACTATTCCTTCCCCCGCTGACGCCAGTGATGGGGCACTATTCCTCCCACTGACACCAATGATGGGGCACTATTCCCCACTGACACCAATGATGGGGCACTATTCTTCCCACTGACACCAATGTTGGGACACTATTCTTCCCACTGACACCAATGTTGGGACACTATTCTTCCCACTGACACCAATGTTGGGACACTATTCTTCCCACTGACACCAATGTTGGGACACTATTCTTCCCCCCTGACACCAATGTTGGGACACTATTCTTCCCACTGACACCAATGTTGGGACACTATTCTTCCCACTGACACCAATGTTGGGACACTATTCTTCGACTGACACCAATGTTGGGACACTATCTTCCCACTGACACCAATGTTGGGACACTATTCTTCCCACTGACACCAATGTTGGGACACTATTCTTCCCACTGACACCAATGTTGGGACACTATTCTTCCCACTGACACCGACGTTGGGACACTATTCCTTCCCCTGACACCAATGTTGGGACACTATTCCCCACTGACACCAATGTTGGGACACTATTCTTCCCACTGACACCAATGTTGGGACACTATTCCTTTCCCACTGACACCAATGTTGGGACACTATTCTTCCCACTGACACCATGTTGGGACACTATTCTTCCCACGCTGACACCAATGTTGGGACACTATTCTTCCCACTGACACCAATGTTGGGACACTATTCTTCCCACTGACACCAATGTTGGGACACTATTCTTCCCACTGACACCAATGTTGGGACACTATCCCTTCCCCCCGCTGACACCAATGTTGGGACACTATCCCCTTCCCCCGCTGACGCCAATGGGGGCTCTATTCCCCCCCCCCCCCCACACTGACACCTACGACACTGACGACGGGGCACTATTCCTCCCCCCGCTGACACCGACGACGGGGCACTATTCCTCCCCCCGCTGACACCGACGACGGGGCACTATTCCTCCCCCCGCTGACACCGACGACGGGGCACTATTCCTCCCCCCGCTGACACCGACGACGGGGCACTATTCCTCGAACTGACACCGACGACGGGGCACTATTCCTCGAACTGACACCGACGACGGGGGGGCACTATTCCTCGAACTGACACCGACGACGGGGCACTATTTCCTCGAACTGACACCGACGACGGGGCACTATTCCTCGAACTGACACCGACGACGGGGCACTATTCCTCGAACTGACACCGACGACGGGGGCACTATTCCTCGAACTGACACCGACGACGGGGCACTATTCCTCGAACTGACACCGACGACGGGGCACTATTCCTCGAACTGACACCCGACGGGGCACTATTCCTCGAACTGACACCGACGACGGGGCACTATTCCTCGAACTGACACCGACGACGGGGCACTATTCCTCGAACTGACACCCGACGACGGGGCACTATTCCTCGAACTGACACCGACGACGGGGCACTATTCCTCGAACTGACACCGACGACGGGGCACTATTCCTCGAACTGACACCGACGACGGGGCACTATTCCTCGAACTGACACCGACGACGGGGCACTATTCCTCGAACTGACACCGACGACGGGGCACTATTCCTCGAACTGACACCCGACGACGGGGCACGATTCCTCGAACTGACACCGACGACTGGGCACGATTCCTCCCACTGACACCGACGATGGGGCACTATTCCTCCCACTGACACCGACGACTGGGCACTATTCCTCCCACTGACACCGACGACTGGGCACTATTCCTCCCACTGACACCGACGACTGGGCACTATTCCTCCCACTGACACCGACGACTGGGCACTATTCCTCCCACTGACACCGACGACTGGGCACTATTCCTCCCACTGACACCGACGACTGGGCACTATTCCTCCCACTGACACCGACGACTGGGGCACTATTCCTCCCACTGACACCGACGACTGGGGCACTATTCCTCCCACTGACCGACCGATGACGACCGGGGCACTATTTCGCTCCATAAGACACCGACGATTGGGCACTATTCCTCCCACTGACACCGACGATTGGGCACTATTCCTCCCACTGACACCGACGATTGGGCACTATTCCTCCCACTGACACCGCGACGATTGGGCACTATTCCTCCCACTGACACGCCGACGATTGGGCACTATTCCTCCCCTGACCCGACGATTGGGCACTATTCCTCCCACTGACACCGACGATTGGGCACTATTCCTCCCACTGACAACCGACGATTGGGCACTATTCCTCCCACTGACACCGACGATTGGGCACTATTCCTCCCACTGACACCGACGATTGGGCACTATTCCTCCCACTGACACCGACGATTGGGCACTATTCCTCCCACTGACACCGACGATTGGGCACTATTCCTCCCACTGACACCGACGATTGGGCACTATTCCTCCCACTGACACCGACGATTGGGCACTATTCCTCCCACTGACACCGACGATTGGGCACTATTCCTCCCACTGACACCGACGATTGGGCACTATTCCTCCCACTGACACCGACGATTGGGGGCACTATTTCGCTCCATAAGACACACTTGGGGGGAAATGTCTGTGCGTCTTATCGAGCGGGTCGGCCCAGTATTCCCGCCGCCGTTGTATGTCCGCAGTCTCTGGTCATCTCCTGTACTGTGTCCGCATTTGTTCATAGTTTTTTTTTTTTTTTTTTTTTTTTTTTTTTTTTAAACTATAGTCCGGCCCTCCAATGGTCTGAGGGACAGTGAACTGGCCCCCTGTTTAAAAGTTGAGGACCCCTGGTTTAGAACCTACATCTGTTTTAAGTTGCTATCCTTGTCAACATTTGGATGATTTTTTTTTGCTCATGTCCTGGTGGAATGCATTACTGGAATAATCAGTAGGGGAAAATGTCCTCAAGTGTTGTTGAGAGTTCTGACCTTCCCCCACTCTATTAAAACACAAAAAAAAAAATAGATGTTGGCTTTCACTGTAAGCATCTCTTCATACTGGTGTCATCAGATGTTTGTGTTTTGTTTTTTTTTTTAGGTGCAAGTGGTTTACATTTAACCAAGCATGAAAACTTCCATGGAGGGCTAGATGCCATTTCTGTTGGTGATGGGCTCTTCACCATTTTAACAACTCTTAGCAAGAAGGCTAGTACAGTTCAAGTGATGCTACAGCCAATTTTAACTTATATGGCATGTGGATATATGGGAAGACAGGTAAATTGACATTTTTTTTTTCCTTAATCGATTAAAAGCACATTTGTCTTTTATGCAAGATTTATTCTTTCTGCTTTTACAGGAGTTTAATTTTGATTTTTGGCTTTCTACCACTTTGTAAATCTTAGTTTATATAAAGGGAAATTCCAGACGGGTATAAAAAGATCTGTTAACACAGTTTTGTATTGTACCCACGTTTATCTGGTCAGCCTGTATTCCCTTTGCACAGCAGAATGAGTCTGCAAGTGGAAGGGGCCACACTAGGAACTAGTAAGGCTCTGCAGCATGTTGTGTGCTTTTGACTCTTCTGCTAACTGGAGGTGAGAGCTAGACATGGTTTTTACCAGTGTTCTTGGCCAAGCTTTGCTACTGTTGCAATGGTTTTAAAGAACTTGCCTGTACTATCTGGTTGCCTTTGACAGTATGTGAATTTGAAGTGTATATAAAGTAAAAATATTTTCTTTCTTAGTTTTCAACAGAATGGTGAGGGATCTTGTCTTGGTGACTTACTGGGATGGAACGTAATTGGAAATATTTACTGTTAGTGTCTAAGAGATTTTCTTTTACTTTTTTGTCTTCAGAAGCAGTAGTGATGGGAAATCTCCTCACAAGAAAAGCTGTTTTTTCTAACCATTTCCTTCTGTAGCCAAAACTAAACACAAATGTTTTGGCTTTAAAAATACTTTAAAGTGCATCTGTGCCCAGACTATAGAAGCAAAGTTATTTATATATCTTTAAAGGATAAGTTCACCTTTTAAAAGTAAAAAATAATAAAGGTACTTTTTTGCAGGTAAAAAATGTGCCATTTATTTTTCACTTGGAGCCTACAAAGAAACCTGCTGATCACTGGTGCCATGCAGGACTCCTGCAGACTTATCGGTTTATGTGCTCGTACCTTGTATTGGCAGGCAGATACACACTGACCGGAAGAGACAAGGAACTACCACAGCACTCAACAGTGCCCTGGTAGTAAATTGAGACCTACAAGTTGATAGCCACAAAGACTGTGTCGGTATTTGTAGTTTTCCATTTACAGAATTCTGTGAATGAATGATGCAGCTGGGTGGGCGGAGCCACCACAGGTTGTGTGTGTTTTTTTTTTTTTTGTTTGTTTTTTCCAGAGCTGCCTTTCTGTCATCACCAGTACCACTGTAACCCCTAACTGTCACTAATGAAGCAATTTCTATCTTTCTATCTACCTCTACATTTAAACCTTTATGACAGAGGGTGTCCATAGTTCAGATCCATCTTTTTTCCTTTTGTGATACAGATTTCACTCTGTTCGGTCAAGACCTTGAACTTCAAACTAAACTGCTTGAGCTTGTCTTTTCACATCAGCTATCACAGTTGGTTAGTCTTCAGGGATGCTTTGGAGGTGGTACCCAGGCCCTGCTGGACCAAGGATCGCAGAACTTTAGGGCTTACCTGGAATGGGACCCAAGGGTCAGTGCTGGACTCTTCCAGTGGAGACTTTCAGGCCTTAGTGTAGTTTTTTTTTGCCACATGGATCCCCCAGCTCCTGAGCTGTGGAACTTCCTCAGCTGCAACTCACTCTATGAACACTCACTTTATGAGTAAAAGCCATGGTAGTAGCAAAGAAAAACCTGGTATGTTCTTTTTGGGCTCTGAGCTCTGCATTGGTGCTCTGCAGATGTGGCTAGAGAGGATTCACTTTTTTGGAGGAAGTTTCTTTAGTGAGTAACTCACCTTTTTCTGGAAAATCACAGAGGTGTAAGAGAACCCTGCTCAGAGTAAGTCCCCCCAACCTCTCCCCCAAGGAAGGCTTCCTTTCATCCCTCACAGGCCTCTTCTTCTAAGCCCATGCCCCGAATACAATTTCAAAGCAAGCCTTGGACACCCAAGCCAGCTAAACTCAGTTTTAAGCCTTCTGCACAATGATGGGTTGCCACTACTTCATCAAGTGGGAGGACATCTGTTGTTCTTCATGGCTGTTTGGGTTCAGTCTGTTGTCGCCCATGGCTAAAAAGTGGAGTTTGTCCTCCCCTCCTCTTCATGACTTCCAACCTGGCCACCTCTGCAGCAAGTGCAGGCTCCTCAGGTTGCCATTCAATAGCTTCTTTTCTTGGGTGTTTTGCCCATTTTGATGGGGGGAGAGATTTTAGGGCTCTTACTCCAACATGTTCATGGTCCTGAAACCTGATGACGACATACATCCCATTTTGGACCTCGAGTTCCTCTACAGATAAGTAAGAATCCAGATGTTTATGGAATCTGCCTGGTTGGTCATCACCTTCCATCAACAACAAGCAAATTTCATGGCTTCTTTAAACAATAAAGATGCCTATTTGTCCTATGTTCCCATTTATGGTTCCTTAGTTTCCAAAAATTTCCATCAATTGTGACTCACCACTTGGAATACCTAGGTCTTGTCCTGGATACAGCTCTGGCTCGAGTGTTTTTTTTTTCCTGCGGCAAAAATCTTGTTGCTGAGATCTCTGGCATGGAAACACCTGTTCCATCATCAACCATCAGTTATGTTTTGCATGAGGGCTCTGGGTCTAATGGTGGCCTCAATCAAGCCAGTGCTGTTTGCCCAGACTAAGTCCATGGTGCATGAGATAAGCAGACTTCTTTAGTTTAGCCCATGAGCCCATTGGCAGAGGCCAGATACACTCTAACATGTTGGATATTCAGTCCGAAACTGGAGTCTAGAGTCCTTTCTCCCATTGATTTGAACAGTGCTTATGGTGGATACCATCCTGTTGGACTGGGGAAGTTTGCTTGGTACAGTTATGGTACAGTGTACTTGATCAGTGAAGGAATCGTTACTTCGAATCCTGACATCAGTGTTTTTGGGACCTCGCCCTTCACAAGTGGACAAGTTGTGTTCGTGAACTGCCAAAGTGGGTTCATCCAGTCTCTGCTACTGTTTGCATCAGTTGCCAAGGCAGAATTTCACGTTCAAATCTTCTCAGCCATATGCTTTTCAGCTATAAAAAATTGGCAATTGGCTCTCAGCCACCAGCTGCTTGGCTCGGGACAGTGGTCCCTTCATCCGGGGTGTTTCAGGATCTTTGCCAGATGGTGGAATGCTGGACATGGATTTCCTAGTTTCATGATTCATCCACAAGGTGGAAAGGTTAATGTCTCAATTGCAGGGGTCCTCTCAGTGGATACTCTGTGTATGTTGCCTTTAAAGTGGTTGCTAGGGCTGAAGGCTTTTTACCTTAATGCATTCTCTGCCATGATCAGCTCCCCCCACCCCTAAATATTTACCTGAGCCTTATTTTGATCCAGTGCTGTGCCAGAGAGCAGCAGTGCTGCATTCTCTCTCATCACTGGACTCAGAGGCAGTAGAGGGAGCCAATGGCGTCTGCTGCAATGAGTCAAATCCTTTGAGGAGGAGACAGGGCTGAGTTGTGCTGTATGTGTCAATAGACTCAAACAACCCGCCTAGACATCAAGCCTGCACGAGTGTCTCCATTGTAAGTGGTTTGCTATGGGGGCAGACGGAAGGGAGGAGGAGCTTAGAGAGCCAACAGGGTACCCCAGAAGGGGAAGTTTAGGGCTGTTCTGTGCAAAACCATTGCACATAGCAGTTAACTTTAACATTTTTATTATTTAAAAAAAATTAACCTTTACAATCGCTTTAAAGATCCTCCCTCACCTGCTCCACTGGATCAGGCGATTGTAATACTCAGACCCCCAAAGTGGCCAAGAAGAACGTGGTACACAGGCGTCCTCTGGGTTCTGATGGATGTTCCATGGCCATTACTAGACCACCTGGATCTACTGTTTTAGGGTCTATTGTTCCATTCTGCTTCGTATTTGCTGGCTTTTAAAGCCTGGCGATTAAAGCTCAAATCCTGAGCGAGGTGATAGTGTTGACATCCCTATGCTTTTGAGTGCCAGAAAATCAACTTCTCAGAATTTTTCACTGCATCTGGAAGACTTATTTTGCTCGTTGTGAACAGCAGATAATTTCTTTGCCAGTACTCTGTGAGGTGTCCTGGCTTTTCTTTAATCAGGGCTGGATCAGCAGTTGGCTCTGAGTACGGTCAAGACCCAAATATTTGCTTTTGTGATTTTTCAGCAGCCCTCATCCCACTACCTGGTGAAGGTTTTTGTACAAGTGGTAGCTCATATTGTTCCTCCCAGACAATCTCCAGTGGCACATTGGGACTCCACTCTGGATCTTTCGGTGCTGCACACTCCTCCCTTTGAGCCCATTTGCGATAGAGGAGTGTGTTAGCAGTTGCTGCCATGTCTTATAGGGAACCTTTCTGGGTTGATTACAAAAATAAGGTTATCCTTCCACCTAGGGTCTCCATTTTGACTAAGATGGTGCCTTCCTTTTACCTCAATTAGGACACAGGCCTGATTGGCACCACATTCTCTTGATGTGGTTTGAGCTGTTAGTCTACCTCATGGTTATGGCTTCCCTAAGAAAATCAGAATGCCTCTTTGGGCTTATGGAAGGCTGTTGCAGGTGACTCCCTGTATCTCATTCTACAGTTGCTAGGTGGATCTTTTAGGTTGTGGTTTGAGCCTGTTCATCCAAAGATACAGTTGCTCCCTTTCTGATGAATGGTCATTCTACCGGATCTGTCAGTGCACCATGGTCATCAAGCATCTGCATTGCAGATTTGTAAGACTGCAGCCCAGCCTTCAGTTTACAAAGTTTTACTGAGTGGATGTTTTGGCCTCAGGTGATGCAGTCGTCTCTGAACCTATCTCTGTTCTTATGCAGTATGAACAAAAATAGAATTATTAACTTGCTTGAAAAAACTGTTCTTGGGAGTACAGTACAAATCGCTGGCCACCCTACCCTCTGCGGTCTTCATACTGCTTGCTGAGAGCAGGAGGCATTATATGGGGATCCTCAATTGTTGTTTTTTTTTTTTTTACCCACTGTTCAGTGACCTACCTAACCAGGATAACCCAGTTGTCTCTGAATCTGCCTTTGGCCTGTACTGTACTCAAAGAAATGGATTTTACAAGTAAAAAAAAAAAACCCAACAATTCGGATATAGTATGCATTGTGTGTGTGTGTATATATGTGTATGTGTGTATATATGTGTGTGTGTGTATATGTGTGTGTGTGTGTGTGTGTATGTGTGTATATATATATATATATATATATATATATATATATATATATATACACACACAGTCAGGTCCATAAATATTGGGACATCGACACAATTCTAACATTTTTGGCTCTATACACCACCACAATGGATTTGAAATGAAACGAACAAGATGAGCTTTAACTGCAGACTGTCAGCTTTAGTTTGAGGGTATTTACATCCAAATCAGGTGAACGGTGTAGGAATTACAACAGTTTGCATATGTGCCTCCCACTTATTAAGGAACCAAAAGTAATGGGACAGAATAATAATCATAAATCAAACTTTCACTTTTTAATACTTGGTTGCAAATCCTTTGCAGTCAATTACAGCCTGAAGTCTGGAACGCATAGACATCACCAGATGCTGGGTTTCATCCCTAGTGATGCTCTGCTAGGCCTCTACTGCAACTGTCTTCAGTTCCTGCTTGTTCTTGGGGCATTTTCCCTTCAGTTTTGTCTTCAGCAAGTGAAATGCATGCTCAATCGGATTCAGGTCAGGTGATTGACTTGGCCATTGCATAACATTCCACTTCTTTCCCTTAAAAAACTCTTTGGTTGCTTTTGCAGTATGCTTTGGGTCATTGTCCATCTGCACTGTGAAGCGGCGTCCAATGAGTTCTGAAGCATTTGGCTGAATATGAGCAGATAATATTGCCCGAAACACTTCAGAATTCATCCTGCTGCTTTTGTCAGCAGTCACATCATCAATAAATACAAGAGAACCAGTTCCATTGGCAGCCATACATGCCCACGCCATGACACTACCACCACCATGCTTCACTGATGAGGTGGTATGCTTAGGATCATGAGCAGTTCCTTTGCTTCTCCATACTCTTCTCTTCCCATCACTCTGGTACAAGTTGATCTTGGTCTCATCTGTCCATAGGATGTTGTTCCAGAACTTTGAAGGCTTTTTTAGATGTCGTTTGGCAAACTCTAATCTGGCCTTCCTGTTTTTGAGGCTCACCAATGGTTTACATCTTGTGGTGAACCTTCTGTATTCACTCTGGTGAAGTCTTCTCTTGATTATTGACTTTGACACACATACACCTACCTCCTGGAGAGTGTTCTTGATCTGGCCAACTGTTGTGAAGGGTGTTTTCTTCACCAGGGAAAGAATTCTTCGGTCTTCCACCACAGTTGTTTTCTGTGGTCTTCCGGGTCTTTTGGTGTTGCTGAGCTCACCGGTGCGTTCCTTCTTTTTAAGAATGTTCCAAACAGTTGTTTTGGCCACGCCTAATGTTTTTTCTATCTCTCTGATGGGTTTGTTTTGTTTTTTCAGCCTAATGATGGCTTGCTTCACTGATAGTGACAGCTCTTTGGATCTCATCTTGAGAGTTGACAGCAACAGATTCCAAATGCAAATAGCACACTTGAAATGAACTCTGGACCTTTTATCTGCTCATTGTAATTGGGATAATGAGGAAATAACACACAACCTGGCCATGGAACGGCTGAGAAGCCAATTGTCCCATTACTTTTGGTCCCTTAATAAGTGGGAGGCACATATGCAAACTGTTGTAATTCCTACACCGTTCACCTGATTTGAATGTAAATACCCTCAAATTAAAGCTGACAGTCTGCAGTTATAGCACATCTTGTTTGTTTCATTTCAAATCCATTGTGGTGGTGTATAGAGCCAAAAATGTTAGAATTGTGTCGATGTCCCAATATTTATGGACCTGACTGTATATGTGTATATATATATATATATATATATATATATATATATATATATATATATATATATATATACACACACACACACTTCAGCAATAACAACTGTACACTCTATCCAAAACTGAAAGCACAGCATATAATTAACCTTTAAAGCGACACTTTTGCCAACCATAAATAGAGCTCAGTGGTTCCTCCCTCTTACTTTCAAGCACCTACATGACTTAGCAGCAGTGATGAGGTCAGCAGGGAAGACAAAGTAATCTACACTCTTGAAAGTGTTTGTTTCAGATGATACCTTCAGAGGACGGATACTTTTGATCAGAGCTGCAATTGGCAGCATGGGAAATACAAAAGGTGAGTATTCTCTTCTTTTACAGATAACAGGGTTTTAAATACTGATAGCATTTTTCCTTTTTTGTTTTTTTTTGTTTTTATTTTGTGATTTTGCTTTAAGGAATTTGTGCTTTGTAAGTTTTTTCTTTTTGCATTTCATCAATTAAAAATTAATCTCAAGTGTTTTTTTGATTTTTTGTCCCAGGGGTCTCTTTCAACCTGTCAGCTGTCGGAACCTCTGCTGTGGTTCATTTTAAGAGTTTTAGACACAAGTGAGGCTTTGAAAGCCTTCCATGAAATGGGTAAGTGATGGCAGAAAGAAATGTTTTGAACAGTCTAGCTTCTCAACTCATAACTGCGTAATCTCCATCTTCGTTCAAAGCTAAATTTCAGGATATTTTTTTCTGTAGACCATTAAGCAGTATTGTTTGCTATAAGTATCTTTGTATACTATTTATATAAACATGAACTGTGATGGAAACATTCTGATCTAGGTTATCCTTTAGTAAAGCAATGGCACGTGAAGTACATTGCACATACTCTGTGCCTGCAAACCAATTAATTTTTAAAAAAATATATGTACTTACTTTGAGGATGGCAACTGAATGCAGGAGCGAGAAGTATGTATACTACTGCAGAACACAGTAGAAAATGTTCAGTTATACATTGCTTTGTGTAGATAAACATAGATGCTCATCTTCAAAGACTGATAAAATAAAAGCGGTCTGTTTAATTTTACTATATGTTGAATGATAGAAGAAATTTAGCCTATCTTATCTGGGCATCTGTTTTTCTTTGTATACCACAGGCTCTATAGGCCTTGTGTAGGTGGTGTGCCATTTAAATTTGTTCTATTATATCAGCAGTCCCCAGGCTTTTTGGCACCAGGGACTGGTTTGATGAAAGACCATTTTTCCACGGACCTGGGCAGGCGGGCGGTTGTGGGGGGGGGGGGAGTGAATCTGTTGGTTTCAGGATCAGAATGATTCCACACTCAATTTCTGAAAAGCAAGCAGCCAGTTATATCAGAACACTCCTGTCCTACCAGAATGTTGGACTCCCAAGTATTTTGCTGATTACAGTTTGGACATCAGTGTTGGCTGACATTGGAGATGATCTGTGAACACACAATACCTGAGTAGGGGACCATGGCAGTGTCCCATTCTTGCTGAATGGGATCCTTTATCCTCTTCAGCTGATGTTCCACAGCTACCAGGGATGGAAGCTGTTGGGTGGGACACCGAGGCGGGGGTGGCAATTGATGCCAGGCACTGGGGCAACTGGTACCAGAGAAAGAGTGGCTGTGCTGTGCTCAGTCAAGTATTGTTCACAATCAGTTCTCCCGCCACCTGCTATCATCCATCCTGCCCTCTGTGTCAGCGAATGGATGTAAATAAACATCAAGCCACTTTGCTCACCAGCCGCTTATCTTCTGCAGTGCATTGCTGCAGCCTGGTTACAAGCAGGCCACAGACCGGTATTGGTCTACAGCTTGGGGGTTGGGGACCCCTATATTATATCACTAAACTGAGATAATGACATAAGTGTGTAGCATCCATTATACACAGTCCACTTTATTCTGTACACCTGTTCAGTTGCTTGGTTACACAAATTGCTAATCAGCCAATCATTTGGCAGCAACTTAATGCATTTAGGCTAGACATGGTGGAGACGACTTGCTGAAGTTCAAACTGAGCATCGGCATGGGAGGAAAAGAGATTTAAGTGACTTTGAACATGGCATGGTTGTCGGTGCCAGATGGAGACTGGTCAGGGTATTTCAAAAACTACTGATCTAATTAAATAGTAATCTAGTGCTGTGCTCCACTAACAATAAATAAATCACTTAAATCATCTATCAAATGATCTATTAACCACTAGCCCTCCAGAGAATTTAGGTAATTTTGTTGCGTCACAAATTGAGCTTTCTTTTAGTGGTATTTGATTGCCTGTGTGGTTTTTTATTTTTTTTGCGCTATGAAAAGAAAAAAAAAAAAAGACTGACGATTTTGGGAAAAAAAACAATACTTTTGACTTTTTGCTATTAAGCGTGTCCAGTAAGAAAATTTAAAAAATAAAATTTCGTCATAAATTAAGGCCAAAATGTATTCTGCTACATGTCTTTGCTAAATAAAAAATCCCAATACATGTAAATTAATTGGTTTACATGAAAGTTATAGTGTTTACAAATGGCAGTATATATACTGAGATTTTTTTTTTTTTTTTTTCTTATTAATTTTTACTAGTAATGGCGGTGGGACTATCGGCGGGTATTCTGACACTGGGGGGAACTGACTTGGTGTCACTGACATCCTCAGTAACACCAATACAGTTATCAGTGCTAATGAAAAGCACTGACACTGTACTAATGGCACTGGGCAGGAAGGGGTTTACATCTGGGGTGACCAAAGGGTTAATTGTGTGCTTGGTGTGATTTACTGTGGGGCTGTGTCTGCGTGCTTCACTGTAAGCTCTGGCTGCGAATGATGGAATGCTAAACAAGACAGATAGCAGCACTCTTGAGGAGATATTTTGCAAAAAGCGCACACGTGGAGGTGCAGACATATTGGCTTGAATATATCACACGAGGTGTATTATCCATTTTTACATAGTAATTGGATAAAAACAACCACGGATTCTGCATGGACACTTATTTGATAGATGATTTAAGTTGTTTTATTTATTGTTAGTGGAGAGCAGCACTAGATTGCTATTTGTTATAATTAACACATTTGTATGGGTACATGTATGGTGTGAGCGATTCACAATTTTTATACATACATACATATATTGTTTATATTATTATTATGGCATTTGCACTCAATATAGCAGCTCACAAGATTTTTCTGTCTAAAAACTGCTGATCTACTGGGATTTTCACGCACAACTATCTCTAGGGAAATTGAGACTCCTCAGACCAAGGCAACCCAGTCTTCTATTGTCCAGTTTTGATGAGCCTGTCCGAATTCTAGCCTCCGTTTCCTGTTCTTTGCTGGCAGGAGTGACACATGGTATGGTCTTCTGCTGCAGTAGCCTGTCTGCTTCAAGGTTTGACGTGTTGTGCGTTCAGAGATGGTATTCTTCATACCTTGATTGTAACAAGTGGTTATGTGAATTACTTTTGCCTTTCTATCATCTCAAACCAGTCTGCCCATTCTCTTCTGACCTCAGACATCAACAATGCATTTTTGTCCACACAACTGTTGTTGACTGGATATTTTTTCAGACCATTCTCTGTAAACCCTAGAGATGGTTGTGCGTGAAAATCCCAGTAGATTAGCAGTTTTTGAAATACTCAGGCGAGCCCGTCTGGCACCAGCAACCATGGCACTTTCAAAGTCACTTAAATCCTCTTTCTGCCCCATTCTGATACTCTGTTTGAACTTCAGAAAGTCATCGTCACCACTTCTAGATGCCTAAATGCATTGCGTTACTGCCATGTGATTGGCAGATTAGCAATTCGTGTTACCAAGCAATTGAACAAGTGTACATAATAAAGCTGCCGGGGAGTGTATATGTCCGATATCGTATTCGGATATCTAGAAAAATAATTGCTTCCTTTAGCCAAAATGGGAGCTGCCATGAAATAGTACAGTTACATACATTTCAAAAGTGTAATATTTTGTAGAAGCTTTGGTCGTGTACAATTATTTGTTTGTTTGTGGCCCTTTAAAGTTTTACTGTGGTGTTTTTGTTTTTTTTGTGTTTTTATTTCAGGTGGGGTTCAGCTTATCTGTAACAACATGGTCACAAGTACCAGAGCAATTGTAAACACAGCCCGAAGTATGGTCTCTACAATCATGAAGTTCCTTGACTCTGGTCCCAGCAAAACCTCTGAGAGCAGTTTGAAAACAAGAGTGCTTGTATCAGAGCCAGATAATGCAGAAGGCATTCACAACTTTGCTCCATTAGGTATTTGAAAATTCTGCTTAGGTTTTTTTTTTTTTTAAAAAAAATAAGAATGCATGAAGGTAAAAAGCCTTTACAACCACTTTAAAGCAGTAGTAGATCGCCCCACAAATTCTAAATAATCTTCTACCTGCAAGTTAAGATCATAATATTCTAGTATGCATTGCATGCTATCACATTATGAAAGACTTTCCTGAAAATGAAGTCCTCCAGCAGAGCGATGTCACGGCTCCCCGAGGCTTCAATCTTCACCTGGTCTTCCTTCCGGGTTCACGAGCTGCGCCCATCTGACTGGCCAAGCTGCAATGTCGTCACTTGTGCGCATGCGCGAAGCAAGTTTCACCCACAGCACGGCTCTCTCAATGGACGGCACGCTCTGGGGGGACCCAAGCAGGCGCTCTCCTGAGCCGCGGCTCTGCGTGTCGATTAACACACAGAGGCTCTCCCCTGCTCCTTCCCTCTCCTGATTAGCTCACTGGCTGCTGCCTCAGCCAACCAGGAATGAGAGTCCACGGATAGCTGAGGCTCTCATGAACATCGCTGGATTGAGAGGGTGCTTAGGTAAGAATTAGGGGGAACTGGGGGGGCTGCTGCACAAAGGTTTTTTACCTTCATGTATAGAATGCATGAAGGTAAAATCCTTCAGCCTCTAGAACCACTTTAATATAAATGATCAAGCACTGTGTCATTAGGATTACCCTAAGGCTGCTTTCACACTGATCAGTTTTGGTTCAGTTTTTGCATTTTTATTCCGCTTTTCTTCCACTTCTTTAACTGAATAAACTGATCAGTGTGAAAGGGTCCTGGCTGCTTCCACACTGATCAGTTTTAGATGCATTTTCATTCAGTTTAAGACCCCTTTTCACATTGATCAGTTTTTGATGCCTTGCCATTGACTAAGGGCCCTTTCACACTGGTCAGTTTTTCAGCTAAAAAAGTGGATGAAAAATGCATCCCTTTAAATCCTCCGGAACTCTTCAGACCTGTCAATTGCTTTTCAGTTCGTTTTTTAAATTCCTGCTTGCTGCATTTTTGGCGCATGTTTGGAGCGTGTTTAAATGGTCCTTTCACATTGATCAGTTTTTGATGCTCTTTTATTCAGGTGTGAAGATTTCCTTTTTCTTATGCTTTTTTTTTTTTTTTTTAAACTGAACAACTCAACAAAAACTGATCAGTGTGAAAGCAGCCAAAGTGATATTGCCTACTACAGTTATTTCCAGATTCCAGGGGGATACTACCCGTATGGCACATAAATACTAGTGTAACAGTTGCCATAACTGAGTTCAGCTTTAGCGTTCACATTGATGTAGTGCTAGTTGAATGCGTTTTACAGTGCATTTTCAGTAGCAGCTCCAGTACGAGTTGATGCTGGGATCTCCTGGAGTCCACAGCAGTAGTTTCCACTCAGGTCTGTATAGCTACAAATCACACCGCACTAAACTTGCACAGTACCCTATTTCAAATCGCATCAGATTCACACTGCATATATGTGAAAAGCCTCCATAGAAACTAATGTTATTTCACTTGTCATGCAATTCCCTGCTTTCAGGAATGTATTCGAATTCGCATAAGTGTGAACCAGGGCTAAATCCAGACCCTTGCAGTGCTGGAGGCCCTCTTTTAAGGCATCCTTCTCTCTAGTAGGAGTGGCTTTGCAGCCGGCAGTGGGAGTTTCTCAAGCTTTTAATGTCTGTGTGAGCTTGGTGCTTTGTTTCAGAAGATCAGACCTGGAAGATCCTTCCATTTGCCCGGAAGACTTTGAGAGCCTTGAGTTTCTCAGTGGATGCCTTGGAAAACTGCATAAGGCAGCTTTCATGGCTGGGCACCATGTCTTTTCACATGAAAAGTATCGTGTTTCAAGTGTTGGATGGTAAAACTTCTCTGCAAGAAGCAAATTAAGAGTTTGCCCTTTGAATACATTCATCCAGAAGGTCACTATGGAGAAGAGCATACTCTTACCCCTTAAGAAGACAAAGGTGACAGGCCAGAATCAAGTGATGCCTTTGGAATCAAAGTACAGTTACTATTGTAAGCCCACAGCCTCGGGCTGTAAGCAAAAGTCTACATCTCAGTTCTGTAGGAAAAAGTGGACCCCCAAGTCATTAGGTTCTGGAGGCATATCCTCCCCATAGTGAAGCAGCGCCCCTCCTCGTATGGAAGATGATGAGACATCTTTTGGCTTTCAGAGCCTCCTGACCTCAGGAAGTCAGATGACTGGGTCTGCAGCACGGTGCCCAGAGAGAGTTTTGCTGCTTTTTCCCTCCACTCCTCCTTTTGCACTCAAAAGTATCTGTGGATCCATAAGAAAGAGGGGTTTTCTTTGCGGGCTCGGAAACACTGCTGTCCCAAGGGGTGAAAGCACTTGCACTGGCAAAGGAGAGGTGTCACAATTTCTGTTTTAATCTGTTAATGGTTCATAAGCCAAACTGATAGTCCGCCAAGTCGGTTATTCCTTTATTCTGTCCAGAGGAGCTTCTGGCATCCATGGATATCAAATATGCCTATCTTCACATGCCTATTTTCTGGCTTCACCCACAGTTTCTTCAATCTGCAGTGAAGGATCACCACCATCAGTTTGTGGCAGTGCCCTTTGGTCTGTCTACAGTCCCAAGAGTTTTTACTCAAAGTTGTTGGGTTTGGTTCTGGGCTAATTCAGGACCTGGGTTATCTCTATTATTGAATACCTGGATGACCTACATTTAAGGGAACAGTCAGCTCAGAGAATGATGCCAAATGTCCAACAGAGGCACAAGTCCTTGAAAGGTTTCACTAGTTGTTTAAACTTCAGAAGTTGACCTTGGTTCTGATACAACATCTGGAGTACTTAGACACTTAGTGCTTGACACAGCACTGGTGAAGGTACTGCTGATGCTGGAGAAATGCCCGGTGAAGTTTCTTAAGGCAGTGAAAAGTCCTTCAATTTGACTATACTGGGGAGGAAGGTAACTGTCTTCAATGCAGTCAGCTATGCCCAGTTTCACTCCTGAGCTCTGTAGCTGAATAGCTCAGTATCCTCTTGGTGTGCGACAAACAGAGGTCCTTGTATGCGTCTGACTCTCAAGAGACTAGGTTGGCTCTGAAAAGGTGGAGATCCCTGCAGATGCTGGATACTGATAAATCGATCTTTCTAAATTGGAAGATCTTGATGTCGGATTCCAGCCTGTCAGGCTGAGGAGGTGTTCTGAAGAACCTCTTAGAACGTAGACCAGATTAGGATAGCCAGCTGAACTGCCTGGTCAGCCTTCAGGGTCTTTTTTTCAAAATGCACTCAGACAATGCCACAGCTATGACAAGCATCAACCATAAGGATTGACTAGTAGTTGTGGTGCTCAAGAGGAGACAGACATGATCTTCTCTTGGGCAGAACTTCAGTGGTCATTGACTGAACTTGGGAGAATGGGCTTTTCACCTGGAGGTGTTTGCAGGGATTTGTTAGTGGTGGAGGGTGCCAGATGTGGTTCTCTTAGCATCCAGACTTAACTACAAACTGGAAGGGTTTGTGTGGATGCCTTGTTTTTGCTGAACTATGCCTGCCCTCCACCTCGGCTTCTTCCTTGTCTTTGGTGCAGGATAAAGGTGGAGAGCATTCTGGTGATTCTGATTGCACTGGCTTGACCAAAAAAAACATGGTACCCAAAGGAGGCATCTGCCCCTTCTTTGACTTCAAAGCTGAGAATGCCTTTATTCCAACTGAGAAATTTCACACTGAATCTGCCAAATCCAAATGAGATTTTATGGCTTCAGTTGATGTTAAGGAGGCACAACTGCATGTCCCAATTTTCCCATGCATTGTTTTCTATATTTTGCTGTGAGGCCCCTACATTACCAGTTCACGTTCGGTCTCCAGGTACAGGAATCATCTAGCTGAAGCAGGTTGGCTCTTTGTGTCCCAGTTGGATCAGTGCACCTTGATCTATGCCTTTCCTTCCCTGAAACGTCTTCCAGTGAGTGCTGGAGGGGTGAAGCAGACAGCAGTGACTGACAGTCACTGTTCTCTGCTCAGAGATTTTGCTCACCTCATAAAAAGAAATCAGATCTGTTTGACAACTTCTGTCTTTCATGCTGTCTGTTGCTTAAAATACTTTTCCAGCAAGAACTCATCTAGGGTAGGGTGTTCTACCCTTGCCTATTAAGGCACACTCTCTATTAAATGTATAAATGATTATTGAACTTTTCAACATCAAACTGCTGTTTCTCAGATTTGCAAGGCTGCCACCTGGTCTTGTATTCAAATGTTTTCTACTTGACATTAAGTGGTTCTAAAGGCAGAAGGTTTTATTGCCACAGGATCCTCCCTGGCTCCCACCTGAGCCCTATCTTGATCCAGCGTGGTGAAGAAAGCAGCAGCTCTCTCTGCTCTCTCCCTCCTTACAGGACAGATTGATGGCAATGGAAGCTCCTGCTGCTGTCTACCAAATTTTTTGAGAAGGGAGCAGAGCCGAGCAACGTGGTCTGTCTATAGACACAGGCAGGATGGCTCGGGATCAAACCTGCACGAGTGCTCCCATAGGGCAGCTTTCTATGGGTACGCTTGCCAAAGAGATGGACCTCAAAAGAGGAGGATTGGGACTGCTTTGTGCAAAACCATTACACAGAGCAGGTAAGTATGACATGTTTTTTATTTAGGCACTTCAATACCGGACACTTTCACAACCTTCCTGCAAAGGCCAATTTTCAGTGCTGTTACACTTTAAATGCTAATTAGCCATGCAACAATGCAACATTTTACCTAATTGAAAATTTTTTTTTCTTTTCTTTTTTTTTTTTAGGCAGATAGAACTTAATTTTGTGGTATTTGATCACCACTGGGTTTTTATTGTTTTAGTATACAGTGGGGAAAATAATCATTTGATCCCCTGCCTGCAGATTTTGTACGTTTTACCCACGAAGGGTAAATGAAGGGTCTATAATTTTTCATCATAGGTGTATTTTAAATAATAGAGATGGAATATCAACCAGAAATCCTGAAAAAACACAAGTATTTTATCCCCAAGTAAAACATGACTTTGTACTTGGTGGAGAAACCCTTGTTGACAAGCACAGAGGTAAGACGTTGCTTGTAGTTTACCAGTTTTGCATCACATCTCAGGAGGGATTTTGGTCCATTCTTCTTTACAGATCTTCTCTAAATCCTTAAGGTTTCTTGGCTGCCACTTAGCAACTCTAAATTTCAGCTCCCTCCATACATTTTCTATAGGATTTAGGTCTGGAGACTGGTTAGGCCACCCCATGACCTTAATGTGCTTTTTTCTTGAGCCACTCCTTTGTTGCCTTGGCAGTATGTTTTGGGTCATTGTCATGCTGGAAGACCCATCCACGACACATCTTCAATGTTCTGGCTGAGGGAAGAAGGTTCTCATCCAAGATTGTACAATACATTGCCCTGTCCATTGGCCCCTCAAAGTTGGTCTGTACCTTTTTCATATAGAAACCGCCCCAAAGCATAATGTTTTTTTCCTCCATGCTTGATTGTAGGGGTAGTGTTCCTAGGGTCATAGTCAGCATTTTTCTTTCTCCAAACACAGAGAGGCGAATTAATGCCAAAGAGCTCAATTTTGATCTCATCTGACCACAGCACTTTTTCCCAATCCTTCTCTGAATCATTTAGATATTCTTTGGCAAACTTCACACAGGCCTGTACATGTGCCTTCTTGAGGAGGGGTACCTTGCAGGCACTGCAGGATTTCAGTCAGTGGCGGCATACTGTGTTACCAGTGGTTTGTCTGGTGTCTGTGGTCCCAACTGCCTTTAGATCATTCACAAGCTCCTCCCGTTTAGTTCTGGACTGATTCCTCACTTTTTTCATGATCATCCTTTCCCCATGAGGTGAAATCTTGCATGGAGCTCCAGACCGAGGGCGATTTATGATTATTTTGTCTTTCTTCCATTTGCAAATAATCACTCCCAACAGTTGTCTTTCTCACCAAGCTTCTTGCTGATGGTCTTGTAGCCCATTCCAGCCTTGTTCAAGTCTGCAATCTTGTCCCTGATGTCCTTTGACAGCTCTTTGGTCTTGCCCATGAGGTTTGAATGGAAGAAAGAGATTCTATGGACAGGTGTATTTTATACTCATAACGAGTTGTCATTAGGAGCACCTTCTTATATTGACAGGACTAATCTGTGTACTACATGAGCACATAACTAGTCTGTGGGAGCCATAATTATTCTTGGTTGGTAGGGAATCAAATACTTATGTTACTCACTGAACTGCAACTCAATTTAGAATATTTTTATCATGTGCTTCTTTTTCTGAATTTTTGGTTGATATTCTGTTGCTTCATTTAAAATACCCCTATGATAAAAATTATAGACCATTTCTTTGTACGTGGGCAAACCTACAAAATCTGCAGGGGATCAAATAATTATTTCCCCCATTGTATAAACGAAAAAATACAGAAAATGTGGAAAAAAAAAACTCTTTTCCCCCTTCGTTTCTGTTATAAACTTTTTGCAAATAATCTTCATAAATTTAGGCCATAATGTATTCTGCTACATTTCTTTAGTAAAAAATAACCCAAATAAGTGTATATTATCTACTCAGTGCAAAAGTTATAGATTATACAAACTATGGTATATATACAGTTTATTTGAAAATTGTTCATTCTTGATGTGCTGATGGCCCTAAAATGCCAGGACTGTACAAATATCCCTCAAAAGAACCATTTTTGGAAAGTTTTTTTTTTTTTTTTTTTTTTTTTTTTTTTTAAGTTGTAATTTTTTTGTCGCAATCTTTTGGAAAATGAATACATTTAATAAAATGTGATAATTTTTTTTTCTACATACTGTGACCAGAGCAGTGCACTGTTTTTACACTATGCTTTGATAGTGATGATTACTGTTCTAAGCAATCATGTTTATGAATGGCATTCATTCATAGCCAGTATGTACTATTGTGAGAGCTGTGACTGGCTAAAGCTATCACAAGGTACAGATGGGCTCTATCTGTGCCAAGTGATATACTGTGACCAGAAACAGATCATCACAAAAATACACGTTGAAAGGCTATGACTGAAAGCCAATTATTGTGTACAAATGTCATGTGTGTTCTGTGATTGGTCACATGGTACCGGCCAGGTATAACAATCTGTCATCCGCTGTGTCCCATGGACACAGTGGGTGACAGATCAAGCTGCAGCGTGACTGGGAAGACGTCATATGATGTCCTCCCGGATATAGGGGGCTCCCGCTCGGCCATAATTTGCTAATAGGTGGGCCAGAAGCAGTTAAAAAAAATTGTTTACAATCACTTTAATGGAAAAAGATTGTATGACAAGTACAAATATTTTGACAGTGATGCTACTTGCTTAAAGCCATATACTTGGTATGTAAACCATATAAAAGCATCTGTGCTAGTTAAGAATTTCTAGGCTGTTTGCAACAGGGACTGATATGTTAATCCCTTTTAACATAAAAGATAAAACTTGCAGTCGCCCCCCCCCCCCCCCCCCCCCCCCCCCAATAGACTGATTGTATAACTTCATGTAAAATATTCAAAGTATGCAATATTGTGAAAAATCCTAAAATTCCCTGAAATACACCAAGTGTTACAAACAAGTATATTCCAATCGATTTATTATGAAAATCTGTGTTCCAAAATAAAAGCAGCAAGTGTTGCAATCCAAACATATAATATGAATCCTGCGTGTGCTTTATAAAAAGCATATATAAGCAATTATAAACCATTTAGAAATACCATAAATTCTCCGTACCCTAGTTTTTTTTCTATCTACTGAAGCAATTTTGAACACACAAGAGAAATTAATTGTAAAGAAAGTTCATATCCAAACCACTCCACCTGGATAGCTGCTAAGTTGATTTGTTCTGCCTAGGAATCCAAAAGCATCCATTCACTTTAGTCACTGAACGAAGTCACCCATTATGTTCTCCGTGCCCAAATGCTTAATGCTCAATTGCATAAAAATAAAAAGGGGGGGGGTGTGAAGCAGTCTCAGTGTAGCATGAGTGAAAGCAATTAAAAAAAAAAAAAGTCAGTAAATATTTACTCACATGTATGTTCTTTCTACCACCAAAGAGAACCGTGTATAATGACAGTCAGTGCAACAAGCTTTCTGAGAATCTTAGGATTTTTCACAATAATGTATGCTTTGTTTGTATCACTTCAAGTTAAATGTTCAATTTATGTGGTGGCACTACAAGTTTTAGCTTTTATTTAAAAAAATAAAAAATGGACGGTCATGTGTAATGTGATATCTGAGACCCTTTCATTTATTGGCTAGCCTAGATTTCAATTCCAGGCCCAGTCTTGTCACTGTTCTGGACTCTGGATCAGTTTTTAAGATGATATCAAGCTTAAACTTTCATTTAACATCTACCCACTCCAGGCACAAAAAAGTAACCAGGGTTACAGCATATGTAGTGTCAAAAGCTACCCATTTTTTTGCAGACTTTCATCTACTTACCCCATATCTGCTTGTTTACATATCATGGTTAGTGCAGGTGTAGTATTCCTGACTTGTTAAAGAGTGATAATGAGCAGTAGGGTAACTAAATGAACTGCTAATAGCAAAACTTGCATCGTAACCACTCTGTAGAAGGAAAGTGCAAAAAGAGATTGAAATTTCTGTGCTTTGCCAAGATGAACGCAGAAAGGGACAGCAGGCCAGGAATTAACTGAGGTATGCTGCTAGATATACGTTTTCCACAATGGTTTAATGACACTTTCATTTATCATGACTTGTTTTATGTTTGTGTTTTTTTGTTGGTCATAATGTTGCTGTTCTTATAGGTACCATTACATCAAGTAGTCCTACTGCTCAGCCAGCAGAAGTCCTGCTTCAGGCCACTCCACCCCATAGGAGAGCACGTTCTGCAGCTTGGTCATATATATTTCTTCCAGAAGAAGCATGGTGTGATCTCACCATCCATTTACCAGCTGCAGTACTGTTAAAGGAGATACACATCCAGCCTCACCTTGCATCTCTGGCTAGTAAGTATATCAAAGTGAATGTTTAAATTCACCTAAACTGTAGCTGTTTTGTGCCATAGGAATAATGTTCTTATGAGATTTACAACTGTTATGTTTGCCTCTTCAAGCTTCATATTGTGTTTAGGGTAAAAAAAAAAAAAAAAAAAAAAAAAATATATATATATATATATATATATATATATATATATATATATATATATATATATATATATATATATATTTATTATTATTTTTTTTTTTATTTTTTTTTTTTTTTGCAATGATGGCTAATGTTCAGACTATCAACTGACAAATTATGTGCTTGTCCATCCTCTACAAAATGTCATAATTGTGGTTTGAACTTGCACAGAACTAATTACATTCATATCAATATAAAACATGTAGTCGCCATAATAATCTGCATAATGTGAGATGGGGAAGTGGGAGGGTTGTTATATTTTGGATATTTTGCTTTCAGATATCTGAGATTTTTTTTTTCCCCTTTTTAGCGTGTCCATCATCAGTCTCTGTGGAAATCAGTGCAGATGGAGTGAACATGTTGCCTTTGTCTACACCTGTTATTACTAGTGGGCTTACCTATATAAAAATTCAGCTTGTTAAAGCAGAAGTGGCCTCAGCAGTCTGCCTGCGGCTTCATCGTCCTCGAGATGCCAGCACGCTTGGCCTTTCACAGATAAAATTACTTGGTCTTACAGCTTTTGGAAACACATCCTCCGCAACAGTTAACAATCCTTTCCTTCCCTCTGAGGACCAAGTGTCGAAGACCAGGTATTTAGCTGTTTAACTCTACACTCTGAGACTCTAATTGTCATAAACCATTTGAAGCTATCCAGAATATATTTTTCAGTCTGATTGGTCTCCGGTTAGCATCTGGGTTGTTTTTTTTTTTTTTCCAGTTTTTTTTTTGATAGTTAAAATGGTCCACTTGCACAAAAACAGCTGTTTTTAAGTGTAAGCCATTCAACTGTTTGAACAGTTAGAATTCTACAGGATACTTGATTGTTAGGCTGGCTTTGCTAACAATGGTCTGAGCTGTGACCTTTGTAAACTTTCTGGGTCTCTGCATTACGGCATTTGGTTACCAGCATTTCTTCATAAAGTGTTTAGGGAGCTCAGGTGGACATCTGAAACTTATACATGAAAGCTAATACTAAAAAAAAAAAAATAGAGGTGCCTGCAAATCTTCTATGATCAGATTGTATTGAATTTCGTTGTTCTAAGATAGAAAGTATCAGCCAAAAGAGAGAAGACACATGTAACCTGGCTACTTATTCATATAAAAAAATCTATACCTTTTTATTATTGTTTTCTTTAAGATGCTGAGGAGTTAAAGCTTCCTTGGTCACTCAGGCACTTTTTGTTGGATACATTTCTGTTTCTAGTTTCCCCTGCTTATTTTTTGAATTGGTAATCCCAAAAGTAGATGGGAACACTCCGAATGTCAGCAAACTAAAGTGCATTCTGTGGCAGGAAATTCCCTAAGATATTCAGTACATCAAACTAGAGTTTGATGCAACTAACCAAACTGTAGTGCTGAAATGATGCTTTTTAGTGGACTGACAAACCGTTCTCTGTCATGATCTTTCTCTACCAATTGAAAATGCTGATGTCAGCATGTGCATTTGGTCAGTGTTAAAACACAGCTGAAAATATTTTTAAACTCTTTTCTGCTTTTATTTTAGCATTGGCTGGCTAAGGCTTTTACATCACTGCCTAACTCATATCAGTGAATTGGAAGCGATGATGGCAAGTGCTGCAGCACCTACTGCTAACCTACTTCAGACATGTGCCGCATTGTTGATGTCTCCCTACTGTGGCATGCATTCACCCAACATTGAAGCAGTATTGGTTAAGATTGGCCTTCAGTCAACTAGGATCGGTTTACGGCTTATTGACATCCTTCTTCGTAACTGTGCAGCATCTGGCAGTGATCCTGCTGGTATGTTCCCGACTTTTCAACCTATACCTATATTTTTATTTTTAATCTGATTGCTTCAGAGAGTTGATTTGACATTTTCATTTGCAGATTTGAATAGTCCTCTCCTTTTTGGAAGACTTAATGGTCTCTCATCGGATTCCACGATAGATATTCTCTATCAGCTGGGCACCACTCAAGACCCTGGAACAAAGGATAGGTATTTCCTTTCTATCTATCAATATATATACAGTTGTGCTCAAACATTTGCATACCCTGGCAGAAATTGTGAAATTTTGCCATTGATATTGAAATTATGACTGATCATGCCAAAAAATGCTCTTTTATTGAAGGATGATGATCATATGAAGCCATTTATTAAATTGTTTGGCTCCTTTTTAAAGCATAATAACAGAAACCACCCAAATGGGCATGATCAAAAGTTTACATACCCTGAAATGTTTGGCCTTGGTACAGACACACAAGGTGACACACACAGGTTAAAATGCCAATTAGAGGTTAATGTTCCACATCTGTGGCTTTATAAATTGCAATTCGTGTCAGTGTATAAATAGTCAATGAGTTTGTTAGCTCTTATATGGAAGCTCTGACTAGGCTAGATACTGAGCCATGGGGATCAGAAAAGAACTGTCAAAAGTCCTGTTTAACAAGGTAATGGAACTTTATAAAGATGAGGCACTGTAGTTTTCTCCCATCACCTCAGAATTAAAAGATGTAATTTCCACCCCTATGAAAGCAGTTTCCACTATATTGCATTTGGACAATCAGCCTGCTGTCTTCAGCCTTCAGTTCTTCAGAGCTGTTGGAGCTGCAAAGACCTCTCCACTGCATCTGCATTTTGTGGTATTCCTCAGTGTAGTATGAATGCACCTTTTGAAGGTTCCTGGGCCCCACCTGAGAGTGTGGTTAATAAGCAGTCTTTGCCCACTGTGGATCTCCCAGTTAACCACCCTAACAGGAAAACCTCTATACCTGCCTACCTTGTAATCCCTTCCTAAATCCCAGTTTTTACTGGCAGGTTCTGCCCTCTGTCCTCTTTTGAGCTAATCTACCTATGACAGAATGGGTTAGATCCCTCAGAAAGGATCTCTCCACTGCTGGGGTAGACCACTTTCTAATAGATTGTGTAGAACAAATGTCTGGTGTCCTACACTTTACTTGCATTTGCTTGTTGGGAATGGTATGTCCCATAGAGGTTTTATGTTCATATAGGTGTGTAAATTCCTCTGGTTAGGGTGTCGAGATGGTCATATCCAAAAAGTGTCTGACTCAATTTGGCCTTCAAGGGACATCACTTATTTGGACCTACACTAACATCCATCATCCAGAATTCCATTGGGGGCCAGATCATATGCCTGCCTCAATTTTAAAGGTCCAAGATGAGGTCGACTGAATCCCACCTTCTTCAATTATGTCATAAGTAGGTGCTCCCAGACCTGCAGAGCCTTAATTTTACGCAGCCCACAGGGCTAGAAGTTAGAAATCTTTGGTTGCCTGTGGTAAGACAGGGAGCTGAGCCCTGCTGAAAAGGGATATACATTGCAGATTGCTGTTTGATGGCAGAGTTTTTCACTATTTTAATGTGAGTGCATATATTAAATAAAGGGATTTGGGTATTGTTTGCCTCAAAACAGTGTTTTTAACACTACTACAATCGCTCACTAATACATGGATTAGGCTTAATAAATATTAAAGCAAAACATGATTTATTGAATAAGTTCTGTTAGTATAATTGTTAGAATTGCAAATCATATTTAGATCGTATTATAGCAAGAATAAAGCATCAATACATCACCGGATATTGTAGCATTACCCATTGCCCAACGGCTGGGGGACTCCACTCCAGCAACCAGCAAGGGGAACTCCAGGACATCACCGCAAGGCACGTCTTCCGCATCTTCAATGAGTCCTAGAATCCCCCTTCTTTTATATACATAATTTGGAATGTCCTTATCTACTGCCATGCGCAGTATCTCCTGGTTATATAACATGTATGATTCTGCGTAGTAGTCAATGCGTGATCGGCTCGTGCCATTACACATAGTTACATATTTTGATGGAATGCACATCTGGTGAATATCAGCCATAGCTCTGGTTTCAACTGGTTTTAACTGGTTTAATGTATACTTCCAACATGTTGTTTTGAACTCCAGTTACCCATCTAATGGTTATAATCGTTAGCATTATGACAGTTGAGTGTCAATCACTTCTCATCCATACATCCTGTACACTCATGTCACATATGTATCACAGGTATGTTTATGCTATGTGGCATTGTATTGTTCTTTGGCATCCCTGTGCTTGATCATCCGGAGTGAATTTGGGGTCGATTTTATGTTGTATATCAAGCTGTTTTTGCCCAAAATAATTGCTAGGCATTCAAAATTGGTAAGTGTGTCCAACTACAGGTGATGGCCTGCACATTGAGCTGATAAGTCTTCACAGAATGGTTTCAAGTCTTTGAAGAGGGCTGAATGTGAATATTGAACAGAGAAAAAAAGTTTTATTTGCGGTTTATTTTCACTGGAACATTGAAATGAAAGTTTCATTGTTTGTTTTATTTATGTTTAACGCTGTTTAATGGTGTATTAAGTGCAGTATTCAAGTGGAATTAGCTTTTAATTTCACTGCAGTTCAATGGGTTTTATTTTAAATACAGCTGCTTATTTTTATTATATTTTAATTTTATTTATTGATTTTGTTTTTGGGTTTTATCTGTTGGCTGTATCTGTAGCATGGAGTGGGGATTTAACCCAAGATATTCAGTTGGAGAGCCCGTGAACAAAACTGGGCAAAAGGCTCCCCCTTGAAGGAAGCAAACGGCTTCCTCAGAACTCTCACCCATTGAGGGTTGATGCAGTGCTGGCAGGTACAACACTTGATCTTGAAGTGACAAGCATTTCTCCAGAAGCATCTTGACTGATCTGTGTCCATGATCAGCTCCAAGTATTCCAGTCGACGTGTGTGTAACCAGAGCTGGTTTTTTGAGTTTCAGAATCCACCTCAACTTTTCCAAAGTGAGTACCATCCATTGCAACTAGGTCTCCAGACGAGAAACCAAGTGCTGCTTGTGGAGAAGATTGTCCAGGTAATCCACAGTTGGAATACCCCAATGAACACAGTGGGCCCAAGACTGGAGCTGACACCCTGGTGAATGCCCTCGAGGCAGTGAATACACTGAACAGCAATGCTACAAACTGAAAATGTTTGTTCCACACCCCCAAGCTGAAGAACATTTGGTCAGGAGGGTAAATTGGGAGGTGCAAACATGCGTTCTTTGAATACAACAATGCCAAAAGGTCTCCCCGTTGAAGGAAGGTGACCACTGACTAGACAGATTCCATTCTGAATATTTTTACACCAAGAAAACTGTTGAACCTCTTAAAAGCCTGGTTAGCACGTCTGCCTTGCAGTAAATGGGTCATGGGTTCGATTCCCAACCATGGCACCTCCTGCATGGAGTTTGCATGTTCTCCCTGTGCTTGTGTGGGTTTCCTCCGGGTACTCCGGTTTCCTCCTACAATCCAAAGACATGCTGGTAGGTGAATTACTTCCTGTCCAAATTGGCCCTAGTATGTGTATGTATGAATGCGAGTTAGGGACCTTAGATTGTACACCCCTTGAGGGTTATGGACTGTACAATATATATGTAAAGCGCTGCGTAAATCGACAGCGCTATATAAGTACCTGAAATAAATTAAATAAAAGCCAGGATTGGAAGATGTCTCCGTTTGGGTGTTATGAAAAGGTTCGAATAGAAGCCAGAAAACCTTTCTTTCTCTGGAACTGTTGTGATCACTCTGTGTGAGCAACGATCGAGAGCCTGAAAAAAGAGATTGCTTTTCTTTTTTTTTTTTTTTTTTTTTGGATTCAACAAACATTCAGGGGCATGAAAGGAGTGAGTGACAAATGGAAGGAGTTTGTAACCCCTACATACTATGCTGCAAACCCAATTGTCCGCAAAGACCAGCAATGATCCCCCACCCGAGTGAGTGGAGCACCCCTTCATTAGGGGGAGGACAACTTGGAGGCCAAGGCTTTTTGCGGAATTGAGTATTGGGTTACAGTTTAGAGTCCAAGGATGATAAATGAAAAAAGGAAGACTTTGCCACCCTCTTGAGCAATAAATGGATCATCCAATGCAGGACCACATGTTCCCCTTGTAAGGGAAGACTTTCTACTTTTTTAAGGCAGTTCTGCTGACCAACACTTCAACCTAAGGATTCTGTGCATATTTATATGTATATGGACCCAGTCAATCCTTTTCTCTCATCTCCTCTATAAACCTTATATAGTGGTTATAAAGGCTCAAAGCCTTTAAAAAAAAAAAAAAAAACACCTTCTGTGTGCTGTACCTCTCTCAGCCTCCCTAATACTCACCAGGGACCACTCTGGATCCAGCAATGTGCACGGGAGTCTTGGCTGTCCCCCCAATCTCTCACCTCATTGGCTGAGACACAGCAGTATGAGCTATTGGCTCCCACTCCTGTCAGTCACAGCCAGTGAACCAATGAGGAGAGAGTGGAGACGGGGCCAAGCCAAAGCTCTGTGTGTCTTATGGACACATAGAGGGGGCTTTGGAAGGGAGCACACACCATAAACCCCATAGCAGGCTGCTTGCTATTGAAGCAACTAGTCAAGGGGGAGGAACCAGGAGCTCCGGAAGGGGACCCAAGAAGAGGAGGATTGGGGGCTACTCTGTGCAAAACTATCGCACAGAGCAGGTAAGTATGACAAAAAAAACTTTCATATCACTTTAATTGCCTGACATACTCATACAGCTGCAACTTCCAATTGCAGAGCCACCCAAAGGAGGCAAAGAAGGACTGTACTTCAGCCACAGTCACTTTCAAGGTCTTGTAAAGACAGAATACTGACTGGTTGCTGAGGCAGATGCCATAACCCTAATCCAGTAACTTTTTAAGAAGGCGTCTCCAGGAACACAAACTTCTAGTTGGTTCAAACTACATCTGCCAAGAAACCAACAATATGCCCTTTGAGTCAGAGACCACTGGGAGCCCTTGTTTCTTCATGAGTAGGCTCCTCCGAGGAATAATGTATAACATCCACCCCTGAGACCCCTCTTCTTCCTCCTCTTCCTGTAGTGGATCCTTCACTAGTTATTCTTTCATCAAAAGGGAAGGGGAAGTATTTCATTTTTGCGACCTACATGATTCAACACAAAGTGGAAGCTAGCAA